TATATATACATATATATATATATATATATATGTATATATATATATATATATGTGATACAATTCCTAATTTTCGTTTTTTTTCAAATCAACGTAACTATTGCAGATGTGTTCGCTAACTTTTAAGCTACATTCACTGATAGTTTTCGACATCAATTTATCACCAGAGCATTTTCAGGGCACTTGTTCGGATATTCTTATTCGCGCTGAGGAAATTCAGCGTCTGAAAAAACGCACTCAAGAGATATACGTGCATCACACTGGTCAGACATATGAGGTAAGACGACAATGAGCTTATATCAAATCTAAAGGAATTCACCATTTCCTAACGATGTTTGTTTAAAACGCTGAGTCGTTATACTCAGATCAGGTTGTTCTTCATCTAAAAGCCAGAGTCGTTATATTTAAATCGGGTTCTATGATAGGTGGACGAAGGGGAGGGTTGTGAAGCAGGTGTAACTGTCTTGCCACAGTATTGCAATAAGATAAAAGTTTAGGTAGTTCGGCATGTATATATATACATATATACATAATGTTCATTTTTAAAATTCTAAGTGGCGAATAGAGCGTTAAACGTGGACTAGAAGCGAGCAATTGCTTCCTTGAGACAACTGGATCCTAAGGAGGGATTCCTAGTTTCTGCTGCGTCGATTTAGCACCTACTTTCTCCGTTTACATAAATATGCTTATGCATGCGCACGTGTGAAACACAGGAGTCGTCGGCGTTGGCGTCCTCGTGAACAAGAGTTTGGTGATAAAAATAGACTCGGTTGAACAAGTAATAAGCCAAATCGGACGCTAACGGTTGAAGAGATTTGCAATTCTGGCTTCGGCACTATTCGTACTATACGTCACTACATCAAGCTATGACGGAGACAAATTTAAAATATGGCTTCGGGAATTTCGACAGAGAGCATCGTACCTTGTTAGTACAAAGTCATCGTTGACGACTTTGGCGCTTAGATTAGAGAAAAAAGCGTTTGAAGAACTCAACGTCGGAATTTGAATTATAACGGAACTAACAGGCTGACCAGCTGTCTAAGTTTATTATGACTACCGAGACTATCAGTGGTAACTCGAAATTCCAGAAACTCCACTCTCAGAGCTGGATGTGGGAGTCTCCCAGCCAGTGGAAAATACAATAATGAAGTAGACCACATCGTAGTGAATCGAAGGTTGTGTTCAAACAACGACGCTGTTCTCCCAAAGTTTTACAAGGGATAGGATTTTTTGTGGAAAGGTGAGAAACTAACACCTTATCCTTACTGCACAAAAACATCAAGCAGAGAAAGCCTCCAAGTTCAAGAGACAAAATGTCAAAACCACCGGAAACTAGGATTTATTCAGATCGATTTATCGGATTTCGATCAGATTTCATCAGTCGGCTTTTGGGTAAGTGGGACTATTGGCAACATGGTGAAGAATACGATCAACTTACTCAATACCTTCACCTTCGTGTCAAGTAAACTGAGAGTTCCAAACACACTGATAGACATCTGTTTCCAGGCACATTCGAGGTAATAAGTCAATGTAAACTCATACCATCGGTAGGCGACGGCCAGTTAACGTCCGACCTTGCAAATGTCGGTTGAAAGACGACAAAGTAGGATCATAAAGGATGAAGAGTAGAAATAATGGCTGGGGCTAGATGAACAGCATTCGCAAGGCCCAAAAAAAACAAACTTAAATGGTCGCTTTCTGAAGCCCAGAAGGAATTGTCACTGTTTCCAAAAAGGCAGTAGCGGAAAACGATTCACGAATACTACTGTGATCTCTTCATCATCTAATTTCTTCTCCCTTCATATGATGTTAACGAGGGTAGATATGTCGTTGCATCGGTTCTTATTTCAGAAATCCGATATTCTATTTTACTGGTGAAGAATTGCGCAGCACTCAGTTAGCACAGGATTAAACCCGTTATCTGAACAATCTACCGGCGGCAATTGCTGAGTTATTTAAATATTGCTTGTCGGAATAAAATTCTTTGTTGCAAAAAAGAGGAAAAATGTAGAGACCTACACGGCACCAGCAGCTATACACGTTGTCTACAAACTTTTCGTTCTAGCGGTTTTTAGTAGGTTTAGCAGAACACTCAAGAAAAGAGAGCCAAGCGAGCAAATAGGCTTTCAGAGAGAATTAGCTACAACAGACCAAACTTTTGGTATAACGAAACTAATCTAGTTTGGAGAGAGTACATGGGAAGGCATCTCATTTTTATATAGTTAAAAATGCTTCAGTTGAGCCCAGATAGAAGCAATCATGGATGCTGTGGACAGGTTCAGTATCACTACGCAGTCCTGAGCTTTATTGCAACTTCATAAGAAGAGTTTCAAAGTTTTAAAATGATGTTATGAAACGAAGTTAGAAACTTGGCAAGGGTATACCATCTCGCCAAAATTATTTACAATCGACCTCAAGAACGTCATTAAAAAATTGGATTGGGTAGCATGGGAATGAAAATGATGGTGGGAGCTACACCATCTTTGGTTTGCTTAGTGTATCGTTCTCACTAAATCAAGCATTGTAGAGCGGAACGAATGCTCGCTGACTTAAAGAAATCCTGCGAAAGATGATCCTTTGATTGGAGCTGAAGAGGACTTTGTTCATGAAATACAGATTTGTTTCAAGTTATTAATGCACCTTCATCGGAATAAAAATGTACGAATGCCACACCTATCTGTTTCTGTGTTAAATGAACGTGATGAACGATCTTGGTTGTAGAGCTGAGAAAGAGCAAGCTTGTGAATTAGCGTGTTTTCAAGAGGTGATAGATATAGTGACAGACAATACCCGACTTCTTGCCCACTTCAAAAGTTTGCAAATTCTTCATACGTTAACGTCTGTAGTCCCACTAGATTTCAAAAGCATTACGGTAATACCACTCATACGATGTCAAAATTCTTCACGAGGATTACAGAAAAAAATTGGTGCTCAGTGAGACCATGGAACAAATGGGCTTTACTCACCTTATGCTTTCATACGCTACTTGTATAAATAGGCTGGCCGTTCCTGTATAATGAATTTCTCATAGGATAATTCTCCATTATCTGTACCTATCACATTGCGACTTTCCTGATTTATTTTAATGAACTTCTTTTCGCAGGTTATTCAAGAGACTTTGGATCGCGACCGTTTCATGAGCGCACGTGAAGCGAAACAGTTTGGAATTGTCGATAAAGTCGAGTCTCATCAAGGATCCGTACCACAAGAATAAAAGTTGTTTGCATGCTTTGAAATAATTCCTTGTCATTTGCCATCTTTCTTCAGAACATATGCTGCAAATGATCACTGTTCGTCAATGTCACTGCCTTTTGCCGATATCGTCTTTTAAAGTTGGTCGTTTTTTAAGCTGTTTTATAAACAGTTTAGCAGTAACCACAATGGCGCTGAGGTATGAGCAAAACTCGGACATGTTGTCAACGTTTTGTCAAAACACTAGTTTTAGTCATATCTCAGCGTCATTGTGGTTATATTTCACGTAATGTCCTGTTATAAAAGAAAATGATAGGCAGTAAATAAAATTTGTAAAAGTTAAGCCACAGTAGATTACGATGACAATAAGATCTGTTGGACTGACTGTTGGAACAAGTATAATAATGGCTTCAATGTAAGTACGCGTTATGAGTTGTAAACAACCTGCTTCCGTGTTAAGGTTCAGTTAACCTGGTTGGTAACCGGTACCACCTACATGCATTACTTTTACTTAGTTCTGAATGGACTCATAGCTAGCTCAGAAATACTTAGACTGACTTCTGAGAATTACTGGTTAACTCAGCAAGAACTTCCTATGTATCCCGCTGCGTAGATCCACCACCCTTCACTTCATTTTGTGCAATAGGGAGGATACATCACATCTCGCCCCGTGTAATGTTGATTACTGACAGTGTGTTGCTTTGGAAGCACTTTTCTTTCTATTCCGATGAATAAAACCAAACGATAGATCCGACGAGACAGCATACTATACTATTCTGGATGTTGAACACTTTTTAATAGAGACCATGTAGATCCGCTTTTCGGAGAAATGGCACTAAATCCATCCTGATTCTTGCCAACCCATATGGTTGCCATTCTACTAACACGTGATCAAACCTACTGGAGACGTCATTAGTGGAAAACGAATATACTCGATAGCAAAAATGTCTTCTAACCATAAGGTAAGTTATCAATCTTTGCAATATCAGGATAATTGCATATTTTGTTCAAAGGGGAACCATACCGTGAACTAGGTAGATTACATTATTGCGGGGAACTTTGATACTTTGATGGCCTGTCCTCACTGGTTGTGCGAGCCACAGCATAATTTCCATTCTTTCGGAGTTTTTCTCGTTTAGTCATTGTTCTCTGGAGTCCCGAGGTCAGCCTGGCTTAAGTCTGCGTTGTCACCACCAAGGGCAGCTGAAGGCCTTGTGGATCAGAGAGAGATTTTCCACCACGCGACTAATTTGACAACAAGGTGGTGACAGATGGATCCTGGCATTCGCATACTCTTAGCTGGGCATCCCGATGAAAACGCCAAAATCCAAAAGGATTAGGATAATGCCCAAAACCGTGATATAACCGTTTTCCGAGCGAAACTCTCGAATAACGTCTAACGTGGCCAAAACCTTGAAATAAGCGTTTTCCGAATGTAACTCTCCAATACCGTCTAGACTATGGTTTCTAGGCTCGAAATAAGCGTTTTCCGAGCGATTCCTTCGAATAACGTTTAACGTGCCCAAAACCGTGTTATGAGCGTTTGCGAGCGAAACTCTCCAATAACGTCTAACGTGCTCGAAACCTTAAAACAAGCGTTTTTTCGAGAGATACTCTCGAATAACGTCTTTCTTCTATCTCGTCTATCTTCGCACTACGGAGATGTTCATCTTCCTTGTTGATCCCTACCTTATACTCAGCTTCGTTGTTCATTATTTTCTTTAGTGATACTACATCTGCAAACATATACAGTACCAACGGTTTAAGATGCCCATTATAAAACCTCACTGAGTGGTAGAATAATACACAGTGAGATAGGTAACGTTCCCAAATAGACTTAGCCTTCCACTTCATGACAATCGTAGTCGATGAACGTCATAGATTTATTCCGACCTTGTCACACTTGCACCTTCAAACGCAGCCTTATTATAGCGTTTGTGATCGAAACCAGGCTTCTGTACCATTAATTATGGATAAATATAGAAAAACAAACACACCAACATCGTAAAACACAAATGGCCTTTGGGCTATGTTTAACACGTATCTATGACCTCTGACTCCAATGCGATTGTGCTCCTACAGAAACCACTGATTATCATAATTGTAAATATTTATGATTCCAAGGGTAAATCTACAATAACCTACACATGGTTTTGGTATTGAACACCCATTTTGGTTAAAATACATTGGCCATTAGAGTTTTAGTATATCAGTATTTTGCACATGTTATAGATATATTAGTATTTCTTTTCAATACAAGAAGCAATTTTAAAGTATATTCAAGTATAGATTTGAGGCGATATGAGGTGGAATGCGTTATTAGAAAAGAAAACCAATTAGTAAGATTTAGATCAACCCAAATAACCTGCAGAGACAGGATTTTGATTCAATCAATGAGACGACAAAATACCCGTACACTATCTCAAAAAAAAAACGATCGAAAAATGGGTCAAAGATATACAATGGTTAAAACGTTCGGAGCAGTCTGAATCGTTCATCGAATGGCCACCGTTCTATGACCGGAAACAGCATCGTTCCTTAAATTTCAAAAAAGAAATCCCAACCGTTTCGCATATAGGTCCTCTTAGAGACGTGAACATATAAATCGAGGCATCACATAATGAGCAGAGACAGTTGTTCTAAAAGATTCCTCATCGCCTTTTCGTTTTCTTCTTAGCCTTGCAACCACAATAGAAGAACTCATCATCTGGAGCTTCCTCGCGTCCCAAAATGCAAATATTGTGGAACCAATTCTGGCAATCATCACAAAAAATCTGCAAAATAAACTGAATTCAGTTTAATAGTAGTAATAGCAGGAATCTCAGGATATCCGTTAATCACTCGAGCATTAATTAAAAAGAATACGTACCCAACCGACTTGTTCACTTTGTGGCTTTGTACACTCCCCATTTAGAGCACATGTGGTTGTTGGGTCGTGCTGCGTTATTGCGTCGTCATCCGTGTTAGTGTCTTCACATTTTCGTTCCACCATCTATAGAAGCAAAACAGTGTTAAACTCTTTAACAAGCCGAGTACAGAAGCATATGAGCTCAATTTTACATCATTATAGTCTAAAGCTTATGTCAAAAGACAAACCTTTCCTTTCTTCTTTCCATCCGAACTCAGAGAGTTTGTTGGGTTTGTCTTCTTCTTGTCCATGTACTTCTTTTCTCCTACTAAAACTCTTCGCTTTTTTCCTTTCTTCAAAAACATACGTCCTTCATAATCGGAGTCACTTGATCTACTAGACGATGTGTCCAATATAATGCTTGTGTTGTGCTTCTTTTTCTGCAACTGTAGCCAATATGCGTTAACAAACCCAACGTCACTCCTGAAAAACTCACCGTATCGAACCGCTTCTTCTCCGGCATGGATTTTCGCGAGGATATAACCACAATATCCGAATCACTGGACGAATCGGAATTGCTAGAATCATCGCTAAGTTGCTTTAACCGTCTCCGTGCAGGTTTCGTTTGAATTGGTGTAGCCAAAGACGACAAAGATGACGACGATGCAAAAGATGCCCGCTGCTCTTTAACACGTTCCTTCTTGCGATTCTTCTCCATCTGCGCAAATATCGAAGAAATTAGTGAAGTATTACAAGTACTGTAAGTCTAAAAAAGAGTAATACTCCTGTTGAAACCCTTGCTTTACGCTCTTGCTTTACTTAGATACTTGGATGGGCCGTCTTCATTGGTTGTACGGGACCCAGCACAATTTCCACTTTTTCGTAGTAGCTAGTACATTTATTGTGATTCCCTGGAGTCCCGAGGCCAACTTAGCCAAAATCTGCCTCTATGTTCTTACCATTTTATTTAAAATGCAAACAAATATATGAATGTAATAATGCTCGAACTATTGAAAATATGAAGTACTATGAAAACATCTCATTCTCATCTTAACGAGGACCACTGAGATAGATTTTTGGGGGACACTGATGATTGGTAAACTTTTTCAGTACTGCGGGTAGAATCAACCTCGAAGGTATGAGTTTATTGAGACAAAAACTATTCCAATAAAACCAAACCACCGTAACGGCTTCAAATATAAGAATTTGAATGGGACAGTAATCATAATCAACGCTTAATCATTAAGACTCGTTCTCGAGCATGTACAGAAATTTGATCAGACAGATCAGGTATAAATTAGCAAAAAAGAAAAATCCAAAGCAATTAACTAGTTATTCGTACTATTTGCAAAAGCATTTCTAAGAAGATACCAAACGAATCTCATTGTTACTAAGATAAAAGGATAGATCGAACCCATTAACCAAATTTACAGGACTATCTTTCTTTCCTTAAACCTAAATGTACTCTTGATGTGATATTTAATTTCACAGTTTCAGTATAATCCCATTTTTATACCACCTCTTTTAGTCCTTCAAATTTAATGTTTACACTTCTGAACTCTACAAAAACTAATTGCAGTCAATATCTGAGCACTAGAGCTCGTTTGGAGAGAAGCATCCCAAGGGTTTTATACAAGTTTCTTCACGAAAAAAGATTTAAACTATAAGCTACAGTGAAATTACCAAGGTTCACTACTTCCTAGATGTAACAGCCAACGTCTTTTCTCTACAAAATTCTTGTGGATACATCTAGACTTATTACCTTTTTCTTATCGTTATTTTTATTACGTTCCACAATTGCTTCTTCAGTAGGACGACGAGAGCTCGATGACACACGGCGAACGGTATTCGCCCATGAGCCTTCGCACAGATCATCAAGAAGGCGAGCAATCTGGTTAGACAAATGATCATAAACTCTAGTTTTGATAACAATGCACTAACTTTTGAAACTGATTCACCTCATTAGTTTTAGCCCTCGGTCGGGTCTGTTTTGAAACAACAGCACGGCCTTGCTTTGAGTTTTTCACAGACTGTTCCCGCGACTCTTCCTTTCCCTTCTCCATTTCTCGCTCTTTTTCATAATCACGATCTTTCTCCGTATCACGAGTTGCAGTACTTTCTTGATCAGGAGAGTAATCACGAGGACGAGGAGAAGGTGTACTATCCCAGGGTGCTGGAGCAGGAGCTCGAGGAGGTTGAGGAGATTCCACAAAACTACGTTCCGAACGAACATCTTCTGCAATCAAACAATTATCTTGTCTGAATCACTGAAAAGATATATTTGTCTAATAAACATATACAAAATTCATTCAATTAAGACCAGTGTCTTTAGAAATATCACAAACCTTCTTTCCTTAACGGTGATGCAGTATGCCGCGTATTCTGCTGAGCTACAGTAGCACAAGTAGATCTCGGAGGACTAGGAACTGAGCTGTCACATTCCATTGGTGGAGATGCGACAGATATTTTTGCTGCTGGAGTACTATCTGTTACCTGAATGTTAAAAATCGGCAAAATCCTTCATAGCACTTGATGTTCACAATGAATTTGAGTTGCAGCCGAAGAAGATGCGGAAACTGTTTCCGAAACATCAGAAGACAACTTGGAATTGTATATTGTATACATTTAGCATTTTAAATGAACTCAAAAATTTGAGGCTTTCGACAAACCTGTGAATCCTTGGCCTGAATCGTGTTAGAATTCACAATAACTTTCTCATCTGGTACAATTTGTTGTTGAGCTTGCTGTAAAACATAACCGATTGCTAAGAAGGTGGATATAAACTGATCTAGATATCATAGGAAATTCAAATCAGAACGAATATGCTACCTGTTGAGATAGATGTTGCTGATGATGGAATTGTTGACTAGATTGTTGGTTACTTACAGGAGCAGCAGTGGTTAACAAGGAATTAACCAAGTTATTCTGAAACATTGATATTTCACAAATAATAAAGTACACTTTATTAGCGTTAAGATTTCTTTCCGTTATGACATCTAGCAGAATACCATGGAACAAAAACAAACTTGAAGAGAAAAACCGCGTGATGCAAGTGGAAAAAGAGTTGAGGCCGAAGTAGACGGAGGACCATTCGAAGAACTCATACAAGCAGTAGCTCCGAAGACGTCAGGAACACGGAAACCGGATTGGTGTTGAGCATGTGCTGCTGCTTGTTGAGAGAGAACTTGCAGTTGTTGTGCCCATTGAGGGTGCTAGAAAAAAACCTCACAGAAAATACCCGTTGTAATAAACGGAAGTCAACCTCTTCTATATTCCTGCATGAATTTTTCAATGTACAAGAGTGCCTCTTAAATTAATTACCTGCAAGTAAGTAGCTGGATTTACGGGGAATCCACTATATGCGAATCCCTGTAGTGACTGATTGTAGCCCAGTGCACTGGGCCAAACAAGTCCAGCCATAGGATTACTTCCCGCCGTTGAAGAAACATTGGCAGAAGTGCAAGGCGAATTCAGCTAAATTATTGAATAACAGTAAGTTTCACATAGCTTATTTATATCGCGAAAACCTCTTCGGTAAAGAAATAATTGCTGTGATTTCCAAAATCGCTACACCCACATTTTGTGGTACATTGAGCGGATGAGTTAGTTTCGCTGACTGCATCACTGTAGGACGAGCAACATCTCCCTGTAAAAACCAACTATAGCGATTCATCACTTCCAAAAACTAAAACACCTGCAACATACATGATCGATAGTCCGCCCTTCTATTTCTATACAATGTTCCGTGTCACCTGAGCAAGTGACGGGACGTACACGACGTCCGTCCACAAATCCAATATAATCATAGGAAGGATTCGCTCGTTCCACCATAAAGGCAAACTCTGCATTAGCCTAAATAAAAGTCACTATGCCAAAACTAATTTGGAGGATTTTCTTCGTATTTTTGTTGAGCAAATTTGGATTGGATAACTCCGAAAGAACTATCTCCAGTCATGCTGGTTTCAAAATTGCTTCGTTGCGGCATTAAGTATTCATTTGCATTTCAAGCTCACAACTAACAAATTCAAACTATGTCCTTAGTAGTCTGCAAACCCATTTCGAAACAAGAAATCCAAGTTCCCACGAAAAATACTTGTTAAATAAAAATTTGTTCACACTTTGTAGATGTAAGGTGTTAATAGAACACAAAAAAACCACCTGTGGGGCAGTTTGCCCAGGACGAACAGCGGCACCATTCATGTGACCGAATTTAATAACGTCACCCTCCATAATTTGCATTGTACTATTCACCTAAACAGGTAAGTATAGAATCCTAATACGTTGTTGTATATTAAAACGTAGAACACAACATCCAAAAATATATGGATGCTGCGCTGTCAGCACATCTCCCCGTCATATAAGAGTTATTTCCGTATACTCTTTGTTTCCAACTTCAACATTAATACATAGGCTCGTTTTCGAAGTAATTCTAAAAAGTAACTAACAAATTCAAACTATGTCCTTAGTAGTCTGCAAGCCCACAAGAAATCCAAGTGCCCATGAAAAATACTTGTTAATTAAAAATTTGGTCACACTTTGTAGATGTAAGGTGTTAATAGAACTTCTTTTCTACTGCTTCCAACTTTCCCACAGCTGTATAGTAAGAAATATCAGTACCTATCGTTCACGAAGTTACTTTGCAGCGCAAATAATGAGATTCCTCTGTATGTAGAAATTCTACATTCAGCAAAGAAGTCGTCACAAAAGAAGGAAACCCACACTGAGAACAGAATTCATTCAACAGGTTTTTTATCTGAAACTTCAGTTGAGTAAACCAGCGCTTGCTGCCACTCCAATAAAAGTCCAGCTGCGAAGCGACATATTTCTTTTCCATTTAAAAAAGTTAAGAGCAGAGGCGAGTGCAGAGTAGTAGACGGAGGTGCTTTCCAATACACATGGGATAGATCCTCGGGTCCCAGACCCACCAAGACCTCCATTTTTCGAGCTGTACCAGATTCGTCTGGGAGGATGGAAACACTGGCTCGATACACCATTAGGCCACCGTGAGTCATTGTAAAGGTCAAATATGTATTCAGTTATCTCCAACGATGCTTTATGAAATCGAACACATGGCGCATCCCACAGGGGTAAATCAAAGCCCAGCGCTTTATCCCTTTATTTTTATTTAAGAACAGATCGCGATAACGGATTGCAAATAATTTGACAAGATTATACAACAACTCCAGAGGCTAAAAATCTCGTCCGAGTAATAATCAGCCAGCCTAAACACAACGAAAACTACACGACCGTCTAGGACGTCGGCCACTGAGACAACTCATGTGGTAGCGATGAACTCTCGGATAGCAAAAGTGCTAAACACCCACACAATCTATAAGAGTGAGACAGATCCTTTCTATGACCATACCGAGAAAGTAATTCACAGTAAGAAGTCTTACAAATTTATTGTTGGTAACTTCAACGTTATAGTTGAAAAGACCAGTGAAAGCGGAAAGGTGGATAAATACAGCACAAGAATTATGAAATGTTAGGCATAGAAATCGCTCAATGACACGACAATGGTCTATGTACAAGGCAACACTTACAAGACGGTTTGTGATAAACGCCAGTCTAGGAGACCTTTAAAGGACTTACCCTGGCATGAGCACAATGAAGTCTATTGTACGTAGCTCAGAAAAGAATTCTCTTGACGAACTTTTGTCCGGACCTATGCGAAAATATTTCTAACGCTTTGTGCTAACTGATAAAAACACCGACTTTTGCACGATGTGCGCAATGATGTATGTCCGGAAGAAATACAAGTTGTTACCACCGAACATTATCATTATATCCACCATCAGCATCGTGTATAAAAGGGCATCACTGAGTGAGGATGCCTTATTCGAGAAGATGGCTCACTGAGGAGGACTGAACTCGACACGAAGGCGAAGCTGCAACGTCGAGACGAACAACAAGCATGGACCATCGACTCGGATCACCGGCTCTGAGGAAGACGAAGACGTCGAAACGTTAGCCGAAAATAAATAAATATCATTATCAACCTCGTGTAAGCTCATCAAGAAAGAATACCTATGCGAAAATAACTGTTTCCTTGAAACGAAAAAGGGACGTCAATCACTTCTCACCATATGGAAGCCATAACAGAAAATTTTCATCTAAATCTTTTCCGTCCCACATCTCCATTCCAACATCTCTAAACAAAAACCAAACCGAACTTTTACCTATCAAGTCAGAGCCTGAATAAAGAGCACCGATAAAGAGCATGAAAGCCAGACAGGCCATGAGATACAGAATCCTCGTAAAACATGTGAAAACAGCACACCATGAAAAACAAACGATGGCGACCAAATGAATATTCGCCCGCAGTGCCGTTCTATCCAAGAGAATTACTGAAGAAACCAAGTATTTTTCGGATGGTTTTCTGAGTTTACTTCCCAAGCTTTCAACAATCAAACCTCGACGGGGGAACTATGGTCGGCTACATATATATCGTAACTACGGCAATGGAAACAATACATACCCTCATTTTACACTAAGTCTAAAGGACTGAGAAAATGCGTTCCACGGTATCGAAACAAAAGTCCACACCAACGGTCGTCGGTCAACTTGTGAACCCCGCCATCATACATAGGAATTCTATCCGAATATTAAAGCAAAAAAGCACAATAACACCTCTTTTACTAACCCTTTACCATTCTCATAATATCCATATGCGAAGCGGTTCCGCAGGATGACAACAATCTTCTTAGGCCGTCAAGCCCTATTTGTACTGGATAATAAATTAACAGTATTGGGACGAAAAGGACAAATACATTTATGAAAAACTGGTCTCAAATTTATGTTTCGCCGGCGACACCACACCATATTTGAAAAGTATCACGGACAGGGCTCTGAATGAGCTCAATGGAGCGTCAGAGACTACAGAATCGGGTTAAAACACACGTCATAAGAAAAAACGTATTCTATAATTGAGAACAAATTGAAATGGATGGTTCTTTAATCATGAGGACCTCACCCTTCGTGTACTCATGGCAATCAGTGGTTGCAAAAATAAAAGAGGAATAACACAGAATAGAAAGGGTGCAGCAGGGTCTTCCAAGCCGTGAAGGAGTCCAGCTTTTCCATCAGGAAACGCGGCAGTAAACCAATACCAAGATCCACCACCGTCCTGTACTCAAAATAGTCGCATGGTGGCAAATCTCCCTCTGATCCACAAGGGGTGGGCAGCGACTGCCTGTGGTGTTGATGGCAGACTTTGGCTAGGCTGACCTCGGGACTCCAGGAAGCCACGATAGCTAAACTAATAACACTCCCAAAAAAAGTGGAAATTTTGCTGGGGCCCGCACTACCAGTGAAGACGGACCATCCAAGTATCCAAGAAAATATGTTTAAAAACAGAATCCATCTGGCCAGCGGCAAATTTCATAAATTTCTCTAAGAACTATTAGAATCTAAAAATCTTTGCCTACAGAATAAACGGCTTTCTGTTTTCCCTTGACAAAATTCTGAGTTTTTGAAAACAATGAAATCTACGTTTCGCAGTTTATTGCATCGAGAGTTATATTTCGAACACGAAAGAGAATAAAGTACCAGGACTTTGTCAAGGACATGATGTGTTCCTTAAAGCATTGTTTATGTTAGCAGCCGCCGTTCCTGCGTTTAATATTCTAGAAGCCTAAATTTCGTTAGCAATTTTTCTATAGTTTCAACTAAAAACATCTTTGGTTCTGGAAGGGCACTGCATAAAAATGATATCAATAGGGTAAAGTCTCTCCACAAATACATGAAGTTCTGAACTGTTGAGAAGGTGATCGAGACATTATCGTCAGTTATGAAATAAACGAGCTTCGTCGCGAAAGGGTTAAAAATCATGGAACAGTACTCACATACACCGCCACGAACGAAACACACCAATTTGATGGGCGACGGTCACAAAAGAACGAAAGGATTGCAAAACATTTGTGCATTAATCGTGACGTATACAAATACGTAAGTTTGTACTCTTTGCAATACACAAGTGCTTCAAAACTTTTCAGTTCTTAAAGTTTCATACTGGGCTTCGTTAACAACGGAACATGAACGAGTTTCTGCCCATGATCACTCCTGAAGGATGCTTCTACCATGACAAGAACGATAAATACGTTTGAATAATATAGAAGTTCATGACTTGCCACCATGTCTAACGAAGAAGGCAATTCATTGTTAACCACCTAAGCCTCCTTGATAATAACTGCTAAACATCAAGAACAACATTCACAAAACATATTTTCTTGGATTATCATGTTGATACGAGGAATTCGAATAAAACTTTTATAACAACCTTGTGTTCGCGAAATAATCAAAGAAGTTATAAATCGCTTGTCAGCCGGTGCATTGCCAATCTATATCGTCGAAATTAAATGATAGTCATGGGACTAGCTGAGAGACAGACGAAACGGAGGACCCGCATGGTGTGGTGGTGAATGCGTTGGCCCCCGGAAATGGTAATAGCGCGCTCGTTCCTACCGCAAACACCTGTGGTCCGATGTTTTACAAATGTCTCAGCATCATTGTAGTTGATCTAGCATAATATGCATTTCTCGAAAATATCTGCATTCTACTGACTTTTACTTCAATCACACAGTTCATTATGAACCAAGTTTGATTAGATTTGAAAGGCAGAAATACCTTCAGGCGCATATGCATTAAAACCAAGACGTACGGAAACGAAAATATTTAATTTGTTGAACCTCTAACTAATCTACTACCACACCTTTCAAACACCTCGACAAAACTCACTGAGAGTCGGAAACAAAAACAATTCGTTGGAAACCTAATATTGGCAATATAAATGTACTGAATATGACAATGAAATAAAACGTTATGACACTAAGATTACAAGATTTTGAGATGAGAAAAAAAACCGAGATAACTTCCAGACTGAAGAAGACGTTAATACAGAAAAGATTTGGTCATCTAACCATTTCTGGCGAGTGCAATGTACGGAACGAAAGCGATGACGAGTGATCTACGGTGTAAACTCTTTGGAAACGAGAAGTGTACCACAGCAGAACCCAGAATTCTCCGTAATGAATGCAAAATCTTACCAACTTTTCTAAAAGCTCAAAAACTGAACTTCTAAACATGAACTACATTGAAGAATGGAAATCCTTGATGATTCATACCTTGGATTCGTTCAATTCCTAACAATTAGCTCATTTCTACTAGAGAGAGCCATATAACATACCACAGATGACCTGGGAATAATGTAGCTCTGATAATAAGAACTATGAAACCTGAGAGATAGGGTATCACAGCTTATGTCAGATGATGATGGACAATGAATAAGAAGGCTGGCTGGACGAATTCGCTTATCTCATAAGTAACCAAGATAAACAAATTCGCAACGACACTGTTTCACTACCGCTATTAGATAATTACTGATAATTAATTAACTTGAGGGCTTCAGCACTCAACAAACCCATGGAAGAAACATTACCCTATCGCTCTACCGGCATACATTACTTTTCTCATCCTCTTAAACAAAACTTCCATATGGTTCCTAACTGCAATAGAAATACGGTGACAAAATCGAAGTTTCAACAGAATCACGTCAACCGCCCAAATCGAGGAAACCAACGTGTCCTATAGGACGAAATGTTGCTTATTCGATCGCTTTTCTGCTCGAAATATGAGGTTCGAGAAAAATAAAAAGAAAGAGGTCGATTTTTGAGTTACGAGAAACCAGGATTTTATCATTGTCGAACAAGAAAACATGCACTATACCGGGCAAAGACCTGTAGGTGTCAATGGATTTTATTTCAATTAATGGAGTTTACAAAAAAAAACTAAGGCTCTAGACGGAATGATATTTCTTGTTAGGAACAGAATACCATCCAATCCAACCAACTCAGTTCTATTCAGGGAGACAACAATATGGCCTGAATAGAACACAGATAAGGACGAATATGCGTAATGGACGAGTACGGCAAGTTAGACTGCGAACAAAAAAGAAAAAACCGAGATATCCGCACATGAAAGGGTAACAACTGTAGTTCGCTTCCATAACTTTTCCTATTGTGAACACTGCAGTGAGTGGCTTAGGCCACCTATTCTACTTGTAGCGAACGATTAAACCTGAACGGCATTAGCCAACACACGACAAACAAAATAAAAACCATCGTACACTTCCGTGATTTTCTTCCTGAGAGGCTAATTTAAATGCTAATTCAATATAGAGCACCTAAACAAATATGGAGCTAAATTTGCCTGACGGATAACCAACACATTAGAGCAAAAAAAGGCTGCCTACTTGTTTTGATAAATCGGTAGGAACGTTTAGTAGACTTTCAACGAATACGAACTACTCAGGAAACAATGAAGAACTTTGAACACAACGACAAGAAAAAAAACAAACTGAACTCACGAACCCTCTGGTCATTGATATACGTTCCATTCAGTGAACGATCGTTAATATGATACTTCTCAATCCGACCACTTACACCTTTCACGCCAATGATGTCCGCATGATCTCGCGATATCATGTTTGATGAGCTGAAATACGGTGAATTACTACAACCTATAAATGAAAAGTTCATGAAATTCTTAGGAAGTTCCTCTTTGCAAAAGATCTAATGCCTTCCTTAAAGAATTTATCGAAGTCATGAAATAAACTTAGGATGCTGGCCAGCTAACAAAACGTGGCAATTATAACACGTGTGTGAAAAACGTGGCAAAATATATAACAAATAGAACTAGTACAATAAACGAATTTCTAGAAAAATCTGAAAGCAAGGGCAAAAAGAAAATTAGAATCTAAGGAAAGATTTCGTCTTAAATAGTATCAAACATGTTAAGAGACACCCAGACCCATAAACATGTTAATCACGCTTCATCAGAACAGTGGAAACCGAAGAGTGAATTTTCCTGATTGGCTCCAACCGGATCTTCTCGATTACATTAGTTTAGACAAATCCAAGTAAACTGTTGCGTTTCTACATAAACCATCCATTATTTTATTAATTAGTTATTTACAGTTCCCCTTATCCGCGTATGTCGCATAGTGACAAATCTCCCTCTGATCCACAAGGGCAGCGACTGCCTGTCGTGGTGACGACGACCTGGGGCACACTCTGGCCAGGCTGTCTTCGGGATCCCGAGGAACTACAACAGCTTAACCAGCAAATCTCCGCAAAACGGTGATTACGCTGGGAGCCGCACAACTAGGGAGGACGGGCCGTTCAAGTATTAAGTAAGTAATCTCCGTGTGTTCATAGAGAAGCTGGTTTACTCCTGTTTTTCGATATCTCTTTGTATCATACTCGCAACGACACCTAAATTCGCTATACTGCGAAGTGGAAGCCTAATTTTTTAATGCGCGTATTGTGAGACCGATAGGTGTCACACCGGCCACTCCGGAAAGTTCTTTAGAACGGCGACCGCTCCTTATGTGATTTCCTTTTTATTAAACGCATTTTCTCTGCATTTTGAAAAACTTCTGCGATTCCCGTATCCTATGCATGCTCCAGGTTCTCCACCTCTTGTTTATTGAGAAAAAAAGACTCGTTCTCCGTGCAGTCGCATTGTTGTCAGCATTTAACGAAGTTGTATAAGTTCTGCAAGAAATATTACGAATTTTACCTTCTAGTTTTGATATCTTCTCAATCCATCTAAACACCTACAAGTCATCATAGCGAACGAAAATTGGAGGACAGCGAACTGCTTATCAAAAATGTAGCTGCACACTGCATGCGATGCCAATTTTCGGTAACTCTCCAAAATTTTTCGATTATCAGTGTACTCGAGGAGTTGGGATATCGACAAGTTTATAGAAGAAACTTTGCACTATCGTCCTATGGGTATTAGTGTTTTCATACCTCCTCTCGTTCCATACTATCACCATTATTTATCGTACCGATTGCGAAGGCAATAAATTGTTGGCCAAAACAATTATCGTTCAAAACTAGCGCGCTTTGCTACAAGTTTCGCTTGACAACCCGAGCATCTACTATGGAATAAAGAATTTCCTAAACCTGCCTATAACGGATACATATTACCTACCGTCTAGCTCGTTCACAGACAGACCTTGGCAACTACTACACTACAATGTTTACTTTTTATTTTCTGCCTTCTATAATTTTTATGGCAGGGTATTAAGCGAAATACAACCACAAGAAGAAGCGACTACACTACAATTTCACAATTGTCACCGAAGCTGCTGATCATGGGAAGGAAATCGAAGAAGTGCAAAATGTGAAAGGTTTGCCTTAAAGTAACTATGATCAAAATAAGAGAAAGCACCTATTGTAAGTACTGAAGATTGTATGTAAAGAATGTAAAGCGCGATATTTTTATGGACGGCATTGAACTTGCATGTATACATACAATTTTAAAAAAGAATAAATCTCTCGGCGCTGATCTATCCCTGAGATTCGCCATGCATTCGACTTCAATAAGCACCGTTTGAGGTCACTGAATGTACATCTAACCTTTACAATGACTCGCAGTGGCCTACCAATGTATCCAGCCAGTGCTGCTATCCTCCTAAACAAGTCTAGTAGCAATTTGCCGACCCCGGAGGGATGGAGGGCTTGGTGGGCCTGGGGCGCGGGGATCCCATGTATATTGCACGACGCCTACGACCATTGCGCCATACGCGCCTCTTGTATATGTATACATATATGTATTATAAACTGCAGATTAAACACTTAACGTTTTTGAAAACAATTTACAAAACATCAGTTGCGATTGTAGTAGTAAAAAAACAACTGCACATAACGACAAAGTCCGTTGAAGGATATTGACAAATGCATACTCTGCGAAAACCTAGTGACTCTGAAGGAGTATTCTCGATGATCTATCACTTCATTCTATCGAAAACCTTTCCCAAATGCCGGACCCCAAGGTGCAGATAGAAGCATTTCTACGCCTCTCCGCTGGTCACATTCTCTTCGTTGCAAACAATCTTCAACAGCAATGGCCTCTCGTCTAGGAAGTGAACTCGTCCAAGAGGTTTTTTGTGAATTAAGTGAGATATTTGTATTATGTCTTCCTCCGACGGTCGACACTCGTCACAGTATCTGCATCAGACAAGCTACTGATTGGTTATAAGAAGTGCAGGGAAAATGATCTGTACACTGAAATAAACCACTGGAAAGAAAATGACACCTATAGGTGTCATACCAACCACTCCCACAAAATCATTATGACACCTATAGGTGCCGCTCGTAGCGAGAGTATAACCAATAACCTTATTCGTCGTTAGAGTTCATACTGAACTGTATAAACTGCAATACTGTGCTATACGGTTGTTGCTACTAAATTCTATACTTAACCGATAAATTGAGTGGAACATTTTCTTCTGTCGCCCCATTCACAAAAAATTTCCTGTATTTCCGGGCTATCCAATTGATATCAGGTTTATCGCCTTAAGCAAAAATACCACTTTTTTTAGGTACAGCGAAAATAGAATACGAATTTTGATAGATACGTTCATAAGAATCTCAAATTCTACCCTTTTTTCTTAACACTATTGTGACAAGTGACCTCTATGAGAGTCATTTCGAAGTTGCCAGAGTAGCCGGTACGATTTACATAGAATTCATTTTCTTTCCTGTGGTTTATTTTAATATATAGAACCATTTTCTTACACTTCTAGGACCAGTCGACAGCTTCCAGAACAGATATTCTGCAGCTAAAAAGATATACAGAACTGTTTCCTGAAGGGGTACATCAACCAGAAACTTGAATGGCAATTGACTATCATTTCAATTCTAATTACTATATTAAACTATATTTATCGCTCTGAATGTGCGAATATAAAAAATGATGAGATATAGACGCGTAAGTTACAAAACACTTCCAAATACTAATAAAACTTTTTTGTATGATGAACCATGCTGACAAATAGTAAAATCATCGTATATATCAACCATACTCATAAAACACACTTGGACACTTGGATGGCCCGTCTTCACTGGTTGCGCGGGAGCCAGCACAATTTCCTTTTCTTGGAGTGTTACTGGTTTAGCCAGTGGGGTTACCTGGAGTCCCAAGATCAACCTAACTAAAATCTGGTCCAAGCCGTCACCACCACAGGCAGTCGCCGACCTTGTGGATAAGAGGGAGATTTGTCACCATGATACCACTAGTTTGATACCAGGACAGTGGTGGATCCTGGTATTGGTTTACTCTTAGCTGGGTTTCCCGATGAAAACGCCGAACTCCTTCTCTGCTTGGGAGGGCCTGCTGGGGTGAACAAATCCTTCCACTATACATCGCAGCCCGATATTCAGGAACACCCCGCAGCCACGATGAGGCGGTAAACCGTTGAGAGGATCTAAAGAACGATAGAGCAAAATTTTTTCTATAATCCTTTCATGTTTAAAATCCATCAAGTCCTCCAACAAGAGGAAAACACCTTCTAAATATGTTAAAAGTTGGCTAAAAGCATGCGGCATAAGAAGACTATAGTTCGTAATTATTTTCGAATGCCTCGATTAGACTTCAAAAAAGTTCCATACGACTTTAACATAATGATATATTGAATGTGAATTAAATATGCAACGTCGAATAGTGAATGATAAACAGGTCATATTAGGAAAAAATAATTGATTGTAAACTCTTGAAAATATTATTTTCGTAACAAAACAACATTAACAAGGGAGCGTGTGCGGCAGTGATCAGAGGCGCGCTGCAACACACATGGGATCGATCACCGCACCTCTGGCTCACCAAACCCTCCGTCCATCCTGGGTCGGCAATTTGGTACCAAACTTGTTTGTGAGGGTAGAAGCATTGGGTCGATACATCGATATGCCACCGCGAGTCATTGCAAAGGCCAGATATGCATTCGATCACCTCCAAATTATGCTTAATGAAGTCGAATGCATTGAGCACCCTCAGGGATAGATCAGCGCCGACAGCTTTACCCTTTTTATCCTTTTACGGAGAATAACACTTGAGTGTTGTAAGAAGGTAACGAAGACAATGAAAAAAAAAAGATGAGAACGACTACAACACGATGAACACTTCAACAATGGAGCACATAGAAGAGAATTCATACACTCTCTAAACAAAATAGAAACTAAGAGTCTTCCCTTTGGGAAGAAATCAGAAGGGAAAGCATTAGAAACCTAAATACTATTTTTAAAATAAAGCTCCGATGCAAATTTGGTAAGAAACAAAGCACCCAAAACTAAAGTTCAAAAAATTGGGTGGTATAACAGAAACGTCTTCATGTCTTGTATGCACAAGTGAACATAAGTTATGGTAAGAAAATAAAAGTCGGAAATGCAATAATACAGGAGAAGAACTACCTGAAAACTGAAGATGTTAAAACGACGTCGCATTTCTCCGGATTTCTTCCAAACTTGGTGAACGTATCAAGCCTGGAAAAAGCCATTAGAAATTCACAAAAATATTTCGTTGCGACTAATCAGGCTCTGATACTTTCTAGATGAACTAAAAACCAAATAAAATAACCCTTAGCAAAACTTACAATATTAAAGTAGCCTCGACACCGCGAGACGGGTCAGAGCGACATTTATTGGGAGGTATTCGTCGTAGATGAAAAAGATTCTGGTTGACATTTGAAGAGGAGCCAGTAGGCATACTTTTAATGCTAGTACTGTGTCGGCACCACGAATACTTTGCCGATTTATCGACCTGACATAATCTTCTGAAATTACTAGGTAACGCCAACGAAACAAGCATCTCCTCCTAACGACATCGAGTAAACCAAAACAAAGACAGAAAGGAGCTGCTTAGTTATCAGACTCGAAAAAGGGTGAACAAAATAGAGGTAAACAAGAATTCATAGCTAAATATGAAGGGCATTCTATTAAAACATGCATTTAAGGCAAAGTAAGTTTACTCCTCTATCAGTTTATCATCAACACCTATTGGGAGAAATCTCGCCTGTGTAGGTTGGGCTAGATAGCTTTACCTTAAGACTTACGCTGCCAGAAATAACACATGAGTCTAATCTTAAAATAGGCACGGTCCCATGGACAATCGACTCAGATGTCATTGGCTCTGATGAAGACGAAGTCGAAAAGTTAGTCGAGTAAATATCTTTATCAACCTCGTGTAAGCTTATCAAAGAAGGAATATATAGGTTAAAAGAAAGTTGGTTCTGAAATAAGTACTACCGCCGACACCTGTACAAACAATCGATGAATACGAAAGTAGAGGTCGAAGCTTGAGAACTAAAAGTCACCTGCATCTGATAAGCGGGAAACCAACAACCAAAAAGGCATCATTTCAAACCCACTACCAATGCATTTAGCACTGGTAAGCGAAAAACAGTTCACATGTACCGTCTTGCTTTTAACATATTGCATGAATCCAGCGAAAAGATTTCTTAGCCATTAACGTTTCTTAAAGCCTTTACAAAACTTGCACCAAAAAGATAAACACAAAAGGAAACACCATTCACAATTCTGTCCCGCTTTCACAGTACTTCTATGGATTCCCACACCTTCAGATGGATTGAGGTCAACATCTGGTTCATACACTTCAGTCAATTGCTCTTCAAAGCAGTACGTTACTATGACGTCTCTGTTTCGTCCTAAGATGCAACAGTTTCCATGGTGCAGACTCTCTTCAAAGACAACAGCCTCTGCGATATGAAATAAGCCTGCCCACAAAAAAGGTTTTCCTCAAATGTTATCAAGGGAAACGATTAATGGGATATCTTTCCACGAATAAGCTTCAGGAACATGTACCGGATAAGCGACCACATCATTACAAGAAGTGTAGGAAGAAACTGCTGCGTACCATAAAAAAATCGACGGGAAGCCATAGAGGTCACACCGGTCACGACGCCCTATGATAAACTCCTACTGAGGTAATGTCGTCACAAATGTGTTAAAGAAATTCAAGCTAAGAGCACTGAATTGTGTGCGCAATTTTAGAGATCTCACAATGGGAAATGATTACCGCAAACTTTTTGGTCCCCAACTAGCCAACGATACAGGTTATTTCTTTCCACACGTAATCTTTACAGGCTTCGACGAAGCGCTTATCTATCGCTCCCGATAGTTTTTACCTACTTCCTTCCTTAAGCCATCTTAACTTTTCCACTATTATGTGAAGTACAATCACGACGATGCTTTTGCCAAAACTCGGACCTCCGCCCAGATTCCAGACACCCTGCCAAAAGTAATAGGCAGTGAACAAAAAGTGATACATTTGTGTCTTCCATTATTTTTTGAATTCAAAGCCCAATACGACGAAGTTTTATACGGTACCTAATGGTTAAATTACTCAGATATTTGGATGGCCCGTCTTCACTGGATGTACGGGTCCTCTCATAATTTCCATTTTTCCAGAGTTTTGCTGATTTAGCTATTGTGGCCCCATGGAGTCCGGAGGTTAGCCTAGTAGCCAAAAGTGTGCCGTCACCACTGCAGGCAGTCGCCGCCCTTCTGGATCAGAGGAAGATGTGCCATCATACGACTACTTTGATACCAGGACCGTGATAGATCCTGATATTGGCTTTTTCCTAGCTGTGTTTCCTGTTGGAAAATCTGGACTTCTTCTCAGCTTAGAAGTCCCTGCTGGGGATGAAACTCCAGCTGTACATCGCAGCCCGATATCCTGGCACACGTTCGACCGTGATTGACTAATTAACGACATTAACATTACAACTTATTCTTCTAAGTTCACTTAAGCACTACTTTATATAATGCATTCTCAGTGATTCCTCGTTATTTGATTGTATACGTTATTCCGTGCCATAAATATCCCTCAATTCACTTCAGTTTATTCAAAAACGCGATCCTTCCGTCTATATTAGAAGTTAGATGGTAGAGCACAAAACCAGGAAGAAATGAGCTAAAACATGAAATCTATTCACAACCCATTAACCGTGACGATCTCACATGAGTTGAGTTCCACACAAATTGTTCGCAAATAACGGCAACTGTCAAGCTTAAACCAACATATCTCATCTCAACCTTTAGCATTATTAGTCGCAACAGAAACTATTAGAATATTCAAATCCTTGCTTCCAACCTAAAACTCCATTCCTTCCACGATAAACGTCTGATTTTGTAAACTCCAACGAACGAATTCTGTGCACTCTTTTTCTCGTCTGGGCCAGTACTTCGAAAATGGAAGCAGTTTAACAAGTGGTATTTCCTCAATAACGTTAAAACATAACTCATGTCTTCATTTATTTTGAAAACTCCGGTTATAAACAAATTTAAGAAATAAATAGCAGTTTCCTGAAGTCACAACTGTCCTTGAATAGATAGAGCAAAGTCTCTTCTATAAGCCGATCACATTTTCAACATCTCTAATAGTCTAGCTATTGAAAAGCCATCATAAGTCTGCGAAAAACCAGCAGTGGTAGTGGCGTCATCGTTCATCACGAACACGGTGTTCATTCGACTCCGCACCGGGTCAACAAACGCACTCATCTATCCGGTGTCGGGAACATAGAATCAGACATGTTCGCGAAAAAATCACTCTCTGCAATCCAAGAACTCCAGTGAGAATCGACTCGATCAACATTCAACGACATCCATTACAAAGGAGAAAATCCTCAAGCAACAGACGCACCCACATGCGAAAAATTCAAAGACCGTCGTGGAAGACAAATGCGAGGAAACGAATCGCATCCAGGAACTGCCCAGATTCGTACAGTAGATATAAAGACGGGTCGTGTAAGCATAAGAAAGAAAAGCTGATATCAAAATTTCGAGTGACGAACGAATCCTAAACGGTAAGAAAGCTGATAGCTGTAAATCAGCTATTAATGAGAAACAAACAGAACAGATCGAATGCTGAGAAAAACAGATGAGCAGCACACTGCAAATGAAAGTGTAACTATCACAGCATTAGTGACATTAGTAGTAGTAGCTGCAAGTACAGCAACACTGCTAGAGAACTAATGTGTAGGTCAGGTAAAACAACATAAATTGATGCTTTCCAACCATTCAGTATAACAGTTTTTTATTCACGACTATTTAGTCCCACAAAAAGAAAGAGTACGGTAATCTGTAACTGTTGCATTATTACGCTTGTGTTAAACATCATGTGCATTAAACCCTTAAATCTAATTGAAACGATTTGATAAATACCAGAGCCATGAATAAATGTGATCATATATTAAGACATTTGTAATGAAGCTGGTTATTTGAAAACAGACGACGATTTTCCGATCATCTGAGTAAGGACTTCGAGACTTCATAGGTTTATAGGACAGATTAAGACTAAAGATTAAGATAAGAGACTGACAGATAAGATCTACACTTATAGATTTTCACGACCGACTTTCTATTAACCTCGGTATTGATCGAAGAATTCTTTGTATTCTCGTTGAGCAATAACACGAGGTGTTATTATATTTCTTTACGCACAAGTAGACGTTTCGGCGGATTTCGCCTTCCTCAGAGCCTGGAAAGGTCAAGTTGACCGCAAATTACCCAGCTAAACACCCCATAACGACACAGAGCCAAAAATAACCTGAAGGTTTACTTATTACTTATTAACAATTACTATTAACTTAAAGATTTATCTAAGAATAATATTTTAATGTGAAAAAGGCACATTACGTCTCCATGTGAATTCCGTGCGGTTAGTCTCCATGTGGAATCCTCAGCGGAAAAACCACAGAATTGATGGATGTTCGAAAAATCTACCCTCCCTTCAATGGGATTGAAATCCAGGCTTCGTGGCCTTCCTGTTACGGTTATGGAGGTGCTTGGTTGGATAGACTGCAGTCAACTTGATCTTCCAGGATCTGAAGAAGGCGAAATGCGCCGAAACGTCAGGGTTTTTTGTGAATTAAGACCTCGTGTTTGCTTATCAGGGAAAAAAGTGAATTATACGACAAATGCCGAAGTCAACACAAAGTATGTCTTGCAAATTATAGAAAGGACCTTCCTCTATCGTATTAGTCACACGTATAACTTTTATCCAGTGTCTCTCAAATTCAAATATATGTTTAAAACTAAGAGTCGCAAAAACCTGATAACGGAACTTAAGTTTTAAAATTTCCAACGGAAGAGCGACAGTTGTAGACTTTAAGGATATGCTGGCGAATTCCACATCCTCCTGGACGAAATCCCATTTTCCATTTGATTTCGAGTTCAAAATATGAGACCTGAGGCCAAAAAGAAACTGAAAGAAACACATGACAAAGGGTATGGAAAATCCGAATTTTATAGCGTTAAGACAGGAAAACTCATAGTTTGTTGGAAAAGATTTCTAGTCTCGGACAGCTTCTAAGAAGCCAGTAAAGTTTGCTATGAGATAGAATATGTTGCGGTAAAGTTGAAAGCAGTTGAAAAATATTACATCTTCTATGACTCCTATTGAGCTCACATCATCGCTAAGACCCTACGAACTGCGTCAACGTAGACGGTCCTAGTTATTAAGGAAGAGTATGATTTTCTAGTTGGACCTTCAAAAGTGTTTTCAAAATCGATTGAAATCAAACCATAAAATTAAAATTTCGATACACGATATAACCAGACAGCAAGAAAAAACACCACTTACTTAAAACACTATTATTATTACTAGATGTTTAACTTTTTATTTTCTACCCGTCATTTTTCCATAACATGGTGAAATACAACCACCATAATGCTGAGATATTAGCAAAACTACGACCCCAATCCAGATTCGAGCCCGTGACTATCCATTCCGGTGTCTCACGGGTTACCCACTGCGCCACCGAGTCCTTCGGTAAGCTTTCAACCAGTTTTGTTTCTATCCTCACAGTGTTATTTTTAACCCTTTTGAAAACTATTACTAAAGTTCAAGAGTTGAACTATTATGGCAGAATAAAATTCCAACTGATGTACAGAATGGTTTCAAAGGAAATAATAAACCAGATAACTTCTCATAAATCTATAAAAAAAATCTGAGTCATAAACTTCTAATCTAATCGACCTGGTATAGATTTTGGGTAGTCTGACCTCGGGACTCCAGAGATCCAAAATGGCTAAACCAGCAAAACTCCGAAAAACAGAAATTTAGTTGGGGCCCGCACAATTGGTGAGAATCCATCCAGTATCCAAGTAAGCTTCTAATCTAATCTAACCCATCTTACTAACACTGATCTATTCGCTCAACCCCATCGTAACAATAACGAACGAAAATTTGGGAAAGTTTCGTTCACTACTAGTAAATCAGACTGCTGTACAACTTGATCAAGACAAGAGTGATCGGTCGATATCGATTATATGGATTATCAAACAAGATGAGATCAGGTATGGGCAGGATTAAATAGATGGTATGATAACCGTCGGAAACGACTGAATCGGTCCGTACTTGTTTTTCTTGAACTACGTCAAAGACAAATGTGATTCGTTCAATGCATAGCCAACAGTCAATTAAAACAAGTTATTAAACATCTATGCCTCTTAATGGAATGCCCGGACGCCGGCGAATACGTCGGCACCGTAGGCTCGTGCACTATCGACCAGTGCAAAGACCTCTACGCAGTTAAACTAGTAACTAGTAATGAATTCAGCTATGGACGTCACCATGAATAGTTGACATCAGATGAGAAATGGTTGGGGAAAAGGTCAGCATGGTCAGCAACGGGTCGCCGCTCGGTCGGGTCGGCGCACCGCTATGGATGTAGGGCGGTGTATCGATCGACGCGGCAATACGAGTGCGAGACAACGACGGCGGACGGACGGACAGACCCTCCATGTGGTCGCATTCCTGCTCACCGCACCACAAGTCGCTCCTTTACTCGGGAGGTGAGCCATCCGTCGTCGACATCGCAGCGAAACCAGTTCCAGAGACCTGTCCGTACTCCGAAGAACCCTACTCGGTGCTACTTGTTCGTGAACTTTATGAAGTAAACTGTCTTCGTCTGGAAAACATCTCACGAAGTGGAGCCGCCATTGTTCTTCCATTTTTACGGCATTATTTTGACAGATACTTGTAGCCATCTCTACCTTTAATATTAGTTGAAATATGCACGGAACCCTGAGACATCGAATCTCAACAACACTATGTCCGATCATTTAAAGGATAAAGCTCTCGGCGTTGATCAATCGCTGAGGAATGCGCCATGCATTGAACTTCATACATCGTTTAAGGTGAATGAGTGCATATCTGACTTTTACAATGACTTTCAGTGGCTTACCTATGTATTGAGTCAGTGCTGCTATCCCCCAGATAAGTCTGATATTAATTTGCCGACCCCTGTGGGACGGAAGACTTGGTGGGTCATGGACGTGGCGATCGATTCCACGTGTGTGTCGGCGCCTCCAACCACTGCGCCACACGCGCCATATGAGATCATATAGTTTTGGCTGTTTCGTAAACAATCACAAAAAAGGCAGTACTACAGTTCTGAATAGTAGAGAGGTGTTCGACAAGAAGAACTGGAACCAAAATATAGAGAATAACTGTGGTAGGACCGGTGACGTAAGATAAGTTAGCTTCAGACTGTTATAATGACCAAGTTCAACAAAACTGCTAACAGCAGTGGTTTGTCCTTTCGGAGAGTACGGCGGACGCTCTGTGTTGCGTTAAGGAGGTGTTGCGTGGTGGCCCCACTTCAAGACAGATTTGATATTGAGAGCGGAACACTGCTAGATAACAACAATATATGAACGAGGCTGATAAGACTTTTGAAATTGCGGCTTGAAATTCCAAGTTGTGCCGAGAAAAATGGCATGCGAAACTCGTAGGTTCCGCTCTTTCTGTGAATTCCCATCCATCGACCACATGACTGTTAGGTTTCAAGTTACGAACAGTCGGAACCTTGTGTTTTTTTTTATTCTTTCAACGGGATCACAACTTACTAAATTACTTTTCTACACCATAGATGGATGTGAGCATATTCCTAGACAATTTTGAAGTTTCAAGGAGTGAGGAAGGACGGTTGGATCATGATGGAGTAATAGGCTATACATTGTTGAATAAAATGATGGATCTCACTCGTTAGTCACTGCTCTGTCGACGCCTTTGCTTTGCTTTTCTCTTAGCCAATTGTTTACCTTCATAGTTTCATCTTAACGCTTTTCAAGCTATTACTGGAAGAATAGAAAGGTCAAAGACCCTGACGTTCATCAATATCTGAATGACGCACCATGTATCTCATTACTAATCATTAAGAGATGGTTTCATAGGCAGGCTATACTTTGACTTGCGATCTCCTGCCCAAGTATCGCATTAATGTTTTCGTTTTCCCAGACAAGTCTGATACGAATTTGCCGACCGCTGAGGGATAGAAGGCTTGGTGAGCTGATAGCTCGGGATCGAACCAGCGATCATGTGTGTATTGTAGTGCACTCCTAACTGGTGCTCTACACGTATTCTCACAAATCATAGGGCAACAATAGTTCGTTTGTTGTTTCGATGTGATAGCACTATGGTCACATTAGAACGGCTATTTCAAGAAATGTATTCAAGTCTTTTATTTAAACATAAATTCCCGCTGTTGAATACATAAATGCGTAGATCAAATAGATAGCACAGCTCACAACAAACTCAAGGCTTAACACATCCTTGTAATTATAGGGTATAACCTTGTCACGTTACCATAGAAATGACTCGAAGCATCGACGTAATCATAAGGGTTCAACAGATCAAAATCAAAGCACTGTGAGAATCATTGTTATACCTCCGATGTATCACAACCTTCTGAGACAACAGCACGTCATTCTCATGCACTAAGCATTTAGAACAAGTTCCATTATCTTTTTCACTTAGTGATGTGAACGTTTGAACATTATGTACAATAATATATTACACAATAATGTCTACTATAATTACCAAGTAACGATTTCCTGCTAGTTCGTATCACCACTGGTTTCTCCCTTGGCAAGGATTTTTAAATTAACTATTTGGCTTGTGAACGTGACATAGGGAAAGGTGTACCATATATGTTTTAAATACCTCACTACTTAGCCTAAAGCTCTCTAAGCATTTGGAAAGAACCCGCTTTACGACAGTGCAATAAATTACACTATTTTGACAATATGATAAAGACCAAGGCGTGCTCTCCAAACCAGTATCAACACATACGAGAAAGTTGGACTCACTTCACTGACTTGCAATCTACGATATTTTATCCTCTACAGTCTATTACTACAACGGTATGTCGACGTAGTGATTTGCATGACCACCGGCACTGTTTGATATTTTACTTAAAAAGTTTAAAAAATACTTAGATATCAGTCTACCACATTACTTCTTGAAAACAAAAGATATACTCTGCAAGGGAATACCAGATTCGACACGGCGAATAAGGTAGATTGCAACAAGATCGATTAGTTTGAAAAGATAGAATTTGAGTTGTTCGCAGACTAAGGCAACCTTAATTAGCCGCTCATATAGCCCCGTTTTTATCGAAATCGTGTGGGAGTAATACATACAGTAACCCGTTCTCTTGAACATTTTTGTTCCCAGAATTTTGTCAAGTAGCTGCGTATACTACATCTCTATCCCTGAATATGTAACGTTTGTCTCTTCATGGTCTTTTTCCCGAGCTTCGTCCCCTATCTCAGGACGAGATAAAGCCATGTCAATGTCGAAAAGATCCGGAGGTATTGGCATCATTTGAACTGAAGGCGCTCCTCTCACTTGGCGCAAGTTTTCCATTACTTCTTGACGGATTGCAGAAAGAAGCTGAAAACACTTAACGAAACCTACAATTCAAAGGAAAAAAAACCCTTTCTATACCTCCTTTGTGTTATGGTTATCAGCACGTTTTGGAAGCTCAGGACGGAGAGTGAAATCAGGCTCAAAAAATGGAAGGTATTCTAAAAACAGATATTTCTCAAACTACAAAATAGTCATGCTCATCAACTAGCATCTTGACACTTGAATAGAGCGTCTTCACGGGATGTGCAGGCCTCAGCATAACCTCCATTTTCCGGAGATTTCCTCGTTAAGCCATTGTGGTTTCCTGGAATCCCGAGGTCAGCCTGGCCAAAGTCTGCCCCAGGTCTTTACCACCACAGGCAGTCGCAGCCCTTGTGGATCAGAGGAAGATTTGCTACCATGTGACTTTCATACCAGGACGGTGGTGGATCCTGGTACTGGTTTACTCTTAGCTAGGTTTCCTGATAGAAAAGCCAGACTCCTTCTCAGTTTCGGAGACCCTATCTGAGGATGGATCCTTCGCTGTACATCACAGTCCCACACCCAGGAACACCTCCCAGCCACGATGAGGCGGTAAACCGCTGGGAGGAAACTAGCACCTACAATTGAAGAAGCTGATAAAAAAAACTACCTACCGGCGTTTTCAGGAATCTCATTTGACATCTCAACATCGAGAAGGACACCCGTTTCGTTCGCCCAACATCGAGCAACGTTTCTTAGAGTGTATCCTCCACCTCCCAATACGAGCATCGGTATTCCAAGACTCTTGACAAAACGAACACATTCGGCATGACCATCAAAGCTAAATCAAGTACACATAGTATGACCTTCAGCTATCAACTAGAAAACACAACAGCATAAAAAAGAAACGTACGAAAGGTTGAAACATCCTAGTCGATCACATCCGAGCGAATCCGCACCACATTGGAGCACAACAGCTTCTGGTGCAAAGTTTTCTACCACTTGCCCAATAACAGGACGGAACACCGATAAGTAGTCTGAAAAATAATTTTTATGATAAAACTTGATCATATGAGCACTAATATTTCAGTAATCACCAGATTCCAAATCAATATAACAACTTATCATCATCTTCGATTCCTTGCTGCAGAGGAACGTTGACAGCGAAATATCGACCAGTTCCTTGTCCAAGATCATAGATACTTCCAGTTCCAGGAAAGAATAAGCTGCCATACTTGTGAAATGACACTGTCATAACCTAATGTAGAACTGTTTCATAATTTACCAATTGCTTTCATATTATTAAATCACAAAAAATGTGACATAAAAGGAATCGGCAATGTAGTAGAAACCTACTCGATCAGTGAAGTTGAACGCTTCTTGAACTCCATCACCATGATGAATGTCGATGTCTATGTAAAGAACCCTTAATACAATACAACTTGATTACAATTAGATACACCACTCAGTCTGTTTAAACACACACCGTATTTCTTATATTCTAAAGTATATTGAGCTACGTTAGGACTCTTGGAACCTGCACATGTATGTCGACATAAAACCTTTTCTAAACTACCACAATGAAACTCTAGGCCAACAGATCCTTTTTCTCTTCTGCATCATCGACCTTGAAAGGCAGTATATATATATATATATATATATATATATATATGTATATATATATATGTATATATATATATATCCACATTTCCTTTTACATAACCCGTCATCACCTCTACTGTGCGGATACTAGCACTTCTTGCGTTCGATCAGGTTTCTTCGCATTCATCCACATCCACATCCCGTCCACAAAGGTCTTTGAACGTTTCGCGTGTTGTTTCTGTTGTTACTTGTGGATTACCGTCTTCCTTATGAATGTCGTAGAATGCTGGGTGAGTCAAATAGGAGGAAGAGAAGGGAGTCAAACTGACGCCTTTGCTTCCTGATCGACGACATCACTAACCACTTCGGTTAGCTAATAGTTACCAAAATTCAAATTGGCCTTAATCTTCTTATATTTTCGAAACACACAGACTATATACTTTCTCACCGCTTATGGTATTTTAACAGCTCCAGGATTGCGATAACAATGTCATTTACATAGCAAAATCCACTAGCTTCTGCCTAAAACGAGTAGTACTTCTAATTGTTCGCACTTCTGTCTAATAGTAAATATTAACAAAAAAAAGCAAACTTACCTTCTTTGCGTGATGAAGTCCCCCACTCCAATTTATTACAATATCAGATACCTTATGATTTAAACGTTGAGCTCCTTCCAATGATCCACCCGTATAGATGGAACAAAATTCGAAAATACCATCAAATATCGGACTGAAAATGTAACGAATGACCCCGTATATAGAATACAGATTTAAAAACAACACTAAATAATGTATTGGCGATATAAAAGACCAGCTCTCCTCACTGAAAGAGATGATTGGGTCCCCAGTTTCCGCAGTTTGATCGAAAAAAAAGAAAAACAATGACAATAACGACTTTACGATGTGAAACGAAAACATTTCGCGTTTAAACGAAGTCATGTTGCTGCAATAAAATTTACCAGTCTTCCCCTATATTGAATTTCGCGAATAGATGTTCGTACTCCTCTGCACAATGCGGTGATATTCGTTCGAGAAAATCCACGTACTCTTTGGAATGAAATCGCCTTAATGATAGCATCTTCACAATACACGACAAAACATGATGCACATCCATATGTGTAGGTCCCACTCGTCATCCCTCGTGAACAACATAGGGGTGGTCCAACAGCACGGTGGGTGATCATTCGAAAACTGGCGTCTTTTTATATGCGGGATCTTGTTAAGTCCAAACGATATTCATCATAAGTCATTTCCGCTTCTTCCAAGAAACTAAAATTTCAGGAATTATGCCATCAATACGAACCGGATATCCATTGCATTCGCTCTAGGGGTCAACCGCATCTCCATTTTTTTATCCAGTTCATAGTGAACCACAAGATTGTTCAAGGCCGCTAGACGTTGAGGTTTCATCGGATGACGAGGACCTATAAGTATAGTAAAACAAGTATCATGAAAAAAAAACATAAAAATACGTCCCCTACCGTAGTGAAAGTTCCCGACCTCTGGATGGTAGTAGTATACCACAGTCCTATCGCTAGCCATTATGATGCCCGCTATTCTACAATTTATCAAGCAATGTACCTCCCAAGTACAGTTATCATCTCAAGATGTATCCTCAAGAAGTATCCTTTCCACTTGCTGGTTAGATGAGCCGTAAAATACGAAGTAAGGTTTACCACCATAACATAAGTGCAGAATAATCCAATTAGAAAATACTAGTGAGTTACTAAACGTCTGGTGGAATGAATAACGCTCCAACTGATTCAATCATTGGTACTACCTTTAATTTCTGTGAAATCTGAAATTGTGACAATCTCAGTAAGTTATTAAGCGAAAACGGAGGCATCCGCTCCGATTTTCTCGTGTCATGAACAAGAAGAAACAGGGATTTCAAAGAAAATCAATTATTTAGCGCAATAACAATTATCTCGCAACACTGAACCCACGAAGATAAGACCTTATATACTAGCACAAAACAGTGGTTAGGCTAGTGTGAGATGATTTGCAGAAAGATCGACAATGAAGATGAGAGGAAAAGGAGAAGAATGAGAGAGAGAAGAGAGGGAGAGAGGGAGTTAACACTTCAACACGGTGTTATAGATATTAAAGTAGTGCCGAAAAGTCTCCTATGGGCGAAAATTTACCCGTAAGTGCTTCTATCGCATACCAAAATCAAAGTCGATGCGAATATTACTACAGTGAAATACTAGAAGAGAACAATAAATAGGGAACAACAGCAAAACTCGTACGTAAGATGAGTAGTTTCGAGAGCAGTTAGTACTTAAATGAAGAAATGGTGAAGCTTCAGTGAACAAAAACCTGTGAAAAACTGATTCACAAACTCTTAACTTCACATAATCGAATTTACAAAATAATTAGAAGAACATATAAAACACGTAATGCATGGTTAGTTACAAATGATACCTAAAATGATTTCCCATTGTTATGACCGTAAAAATAAGACGAAAATGTATGTGCATGAAACACCGACAATAAATGAATGAACACTTTTAGCAACGAACTATTGCATTATCAGAAACCGCCTTGAGGTGCTGACTGTGAGGGAGCAATCGAGTCTTGAGTATGAAGTTCTGAGAGTAATTGAGCCAATGCATGACTGCTTTCCAAACGAGAAAGGGCCAGCCAGCATAAATGTCGCTCATGTCGGCGTAGTAAACTTAAAAATTTTACACTAACGCACCTGAGATGAAAGATCAACAGCTCGAGCAAGGAATAAACAACGCAGCGATTAACTTACTGTCGACCAGCAGATGAATACCTTGCTAAGTTCCTCAAAATCAAACAACTGGTAAGACGAATACTCTTAGTAACAGGTCCTTCTGGCTCATCCTAAATAGAAAAATGTGTAGCTTCAAAATTATAAAGTATTATCAAGTTAAATTCCCATACTGTTATATCCCTAGGAAGAAAATTAAACGCATGTCGTCTTATAGCTTCTATTGCTGCGTGTTTGCTATAACCTGGATGGTGTGGAACTTCTCTTGGGAGTTCTTGTTTACAACGATGAGGTTGCGCAGGAGCTAGACCATCCCTAAAAGTTAAAGTTCACTAGAAAGTTTCCGAAGATTTGAGTCGATTTGGGAGTACGGAACATACTTTCGCCTTTGCAACGCCATTTTGAGGGCCGTCTCGTTGGCGTGGTGGTCTTGGACGTGAGTAACCAAAGACCATCTAGACATGCAGTATAGAATTATGTTCATACAACAGAAAAGCCTTATAATACCGGCTTCTCAGTGTACCATCGCATCCTGGCCACTGGCACAGTTGTTCACCATCTTCTGCAATGTGGTCTTTCGCAACATGCGAGAGCACTGCAAAAGATGTAGGAAACACAAAAGCACATCCATCCCATTCGCACATATAGTCTAATATTTGTTCCACCTGAACGAACAAGTAATTAGACATTCAGGAGCGTTAATACGCTAGGATATTCTCAATGGTTAGCACGCTTTGAAAGAAGCAGTTACCGAGTTGTGTGATGCAGCATCTGAGATTGCTTTCTCTGATGTCTTCACTGGTGATCCTTTCTCATCATCACTATTTTCATCCTCAGAAGTGGCAATACCGTTTTCAACCTTTCCATTTTGACCAACCTTACTGCTTGATTCGTGACTAGGAATTGGATTCTTCTGTTGAGCTTCATCTTTGGCCTAAATCGAACTACCATAAATGGCCGAAAATAAACTAACAACCATTAAGATTTTGCAACAAACTTCCAAGTTATTATCTCCTGTCGGTGAAGTGCTTCTTGATGACGAATTGCTACTGCAAAAAATTCTTTACGTTTCAACAGGAGGTGAGCCTTAAAGTATACAACATACTTAGATAAACCATTAACTCCGTTCAAAGAAGCAGAAGGTGAAGGCTGAACACTTTTCGTCAAGATCTGCTTCATGAGAGGATGAGCAGCGATTGTTGCCGACTGTGAAGGAGGCTGTGGTGACGAGTTAACAGACGTTGCAGGAAGTGATGCAGAATTTGAAGCCATACCAGTTCCCGGGACAACTTGCGCAGAAGCTGCAGGGGCCAATTCTAGAATTATCGAATCACTGGTCTTCTCGAAGAAGCATGGTTTGAAAACATGGTGCAGTACTTCAGTAAAAAACCAACTTTAAATAGCAACATACTATGTGGTTTCACTAATCGTATGCCTTGTGCAACCATCATCAACCCGTTTTCGGCCATTTTGAACGTAAGTTCGGGAAATATGTTCCTAAACAATATAAATAGCTCACAAAAGAAGGAAGAGTTAACGTATACCGACGTACTTCATGACGTTACTAAACATTGCAAGACTCCCACTAAGGGAATGGTACTGATTTCGGAGATCGTCGACATACGCTGCATATAATTCTCCACGTGGAGTTACAGCCGTGCGATCCAAAATGCAGTTTTGACGAATCCACTGCTCAGTGAGCTGGTCTACCTACAGAAATGTGAAATAAACTCGACAGCGCATAATCGTGCGAACAGAATTGGAGTCGAAAAGCCTAGTAGCTTCGTTACACTCTTAGGAGCATGATACCTACCTGGGCACTTGGAGGCCCTGTCTTCACTGACCGTGCGGAATCCAGCACAAATTCCGTTTTCTCAGCATTTTGGCCGCCTAGCGACTGTCGCTTCCTAGAGCTCCGAGGTCAGCCTGGCCAAAGTTTGCTCCAGGTCGTCATCATCTTCGTGGATCGGTGGTTGATCTTGGTATTGGTTTACTCTCTGCTGAGCTTCCTAATGGAAACGCCGGACTCGTTCCCAGCTTGGGAGGCCCTACCGGGGAAACGAATCCCACGCTGTACATCGCAGTCCGACACCCAGGAACACCTCCCAGCCACGATGAGGCGGTAAACCGTTGGGAAACTTAGGAACGTGAACACTATTCAAAACGTGTATGATTCATATACGAATGATGATGGGATGAAAGGGACCAACATGAGATTACTTCCGGTCATCTGTATCCAAGGCGTTCACTTAGTCTTACATAGTCTATTGCTACAATTCTTTGCATTCAGTAGATGCCTTTCACGTCATGGCACTGTACATTTAGTATTGCCATGAGGAGTGTAACATACAATCCAAGACCTACTTCATTTCATTGAAGAAGCCCGTATAACTCATATAAACTATTATGACGCTGTACGAAGTGATCACGCCCTTTTCATCGTATTTTCGCCAAGTTACTTATGAGTAATTCCAATTTTCCGCATACTAAATTCTACCCAGTTCTACCATTCTAGAAAATTTTCAACTCGTCGGTTTGATATTAAAAATTCACCTGAAATCTAACAACACTGATATAAGTTTTTGGTAGTCAGTCTCGCAGTATCACAAAGAACTCTTGCCGGTTAGTGGCGAGGAAACGTCGCAGGTTCCTATGTGGCTGGTAGGTGGTTAATCTGCGCCGTCTTCGCACCGACATAAAGCTTTGGCGAAGACGAAGTTGAAGCATTTCGTATGGACTTGGAGAAATTCTACAGAGTAGACCACATATTCATTAAGGCCATCACTGGAGATTTTAACGCAACTATAGTTCCCAGCAGTTGGCACCAACGGATAAGAATGTTAAGAAATGACGGCCAAGACAAATTCTAATGGTAAGTAACAATTACGGAAGCTCTGCCCTCAATACCACGCCGGACGTGTGAGTCCACCACTGGGAAGTAGCGTAACGAAGTCGACCACATCATGACAAATGGAAGGTTTTGCCTAATTGATGTCACTGTTATGCGAAAATTCTCCACGCTGTCAGACCATCGCCTCCTTCGTGCAAGATTTCATTTCTCGGATAAAAGAGAAAGAGTGGCAAAATTCATAGAACGAATTCACAAACCCAGCATAAACTGCGATTTATTCAACTCATCAGTCGGCCGTTGAAAGATGCCGTTCCTGGTAACATTGATGAGGAATACGAACCGCTCAGTCAACATTCTCATATTAGCGCTATGAAAGTTGAGAGTTCAAAGGTCACCAAGAAACGTCTGTCTCTAGAAACAATCTAGCTGATACGTCAGCATGGACTCACACGAGCTGCAAGCAATGGCCAGTTCACGTTCGAACTTGCGAAACAATGCAGACAGGTGATAAACGAAGATCTTAAAGAGAGAAGTTCACAGAAACAGCCTCTGTGGTCGAGCAAACAAACTTACACGGAAATTTTTTCGCATAATGGTTTGCACCGAATAGTTTCTCACCCAGGCTGAGTACAATATCTGTGAGAGGGAAATAATGAATTTGAATGCCAAGAGTAAGACAAAAGTGTCCCGAGCAGCAAAATAAATGGCAGAACAAAATGTAGGCGAAAATCAACCCACAGCTGGCCATAAGAGTCAATCTTAAACGACATCGAGTTAATTATTACAACGCAGACAATACTTCAGTTTTTCTTGATGAGCGAACAAGAGGTAGTAATTACAGGATTTATTAAGTCAACTTGATATTCCACCTACTAAACCAAACAGTTAACCTCATCAGATAAAACATAACACATAAATTGCAAGTGTTCCAGTCATTTGATGGAGACCAGCCGCAAAATAATCCTGCATGGGCAAGGAATGTACCCGGCTCAGGTCAAAAAGTCAGCCTGAGCTATAGCGCTAGATCACGCGTGATCACAAGACACCCCTTCCCAATTGCCATTCATTTATGGATTTTTGGGAATTACCAAAACGCTTCAAGAGTTTTACGCACCGATATTCTGGACTCCCCTGCGAGGACAGTAAGTTTTACTCTAAAATCTTCTCAGTTATGCCTCGTCCTAGCTTAGGGAACTGTTTGGTTTAACTTCAAACTTACTAAGTAGATCTACTTTTATATGGACGCACACTAATCTACCCGTCTACCCCACACATTCGTCACTAAGGATATCGTCTCTGCCGTTAGGACAAATTACGCAGCTCTGCGTTGTGCATAGGCCGCCATATAGGCGGTTATCAATAATTTCGCGTCTGAAAGTGTCCGGTGGTGTTCAATTACTGTTACCTAATTCGCTAGACCAGCCCTTCTTAAGCAACGCTTTATAGTTGCACTTATTTCATTAGAAATGAAGGGAAGGATGAACGACAGGTTATTTTCGCTAGAATTATCGTTTGGGGCTGTGATTTTCTCTCTATAGAGCTACAGTTTCGTAGTCACTGGAAGCGTCTATAAGCTGCGCCAATTTCAGGGATCACTCCTGTTCCTTAACTGTGCACATGTTGGTGAACGTATTGAACATGTTTGTCACACGAGTTGTTTTTGTGTGTGAGGTGTGAGAGGTGAGGTCATAAACCAGAATGTACCATTCGGCACCATTTGGTGATGCAGCTATTTTCGGATAGGTTAATTTGAACGTTAGAAATTGAAGCGGGCTTCCTTTCGATTTCTCTCGGATGAATGTTCTGTACTTTATTGTTTGTCCAATGACTCAAAACAATTGTCCACCTCTTGTGTGGTGCTACTACTGGTTCATCCAGCTTGGATTGACTAACGTATCCAAAATGATTACATCACCAAATGATGACGAAAGCCAAGTAACTAAAATACACTGGTTCATTAGCCTTCCTCGCACCCCTCGCACACAAAAACGGCGCTTGTGAAAAAATTGTTTCGAAGAGCCACCTCTGCGTGCACAAGTAGGGAGAAATCGGAATCGCGAATCGACTCGGCACATAGCCATCTCCAGTAACTATGAAACTGGAGCTCCTCGGGATGTAGAGGAAAAACTACGGCACTAAATCATAAATCTAGGGAGGATAAGATCCCGTTTATCCCGCGCTTGCTTTCAAAAAAAAACAAATTCAGCTATAAAACACTTCTTAAGAACGGCCGTTTTGGAAAAATCGGTAACAGTGGTAACGATGATAGAAATAACGTTGGACATTTTAAGACGCCAGCTAGTTCGTAACCGCGTATATGACCGTTTATGCAGAATGCAAAATTGCATAATATGCCGTAACAATACAGATGGTGAGTGTGTGAAAACTTGCGGGTATGATTACGTGGGTCAAACGGGTAACCGCCGTACGTCCGTGCAAAAGAACACCTAGTCGGTTAATTTAAAGTTAAACCAAATACTTCACTAAGCATGCATAACGTACGGGTACAAAACTGAGATTTTGAAGCAAAATCACCTCTCCTCTCATCCCTCACACACTAAAAGAGCGCTTATAAGAAATATGTTTCGAACCGCCGCTAGCGTGTGCACAGGTAGAGATCAGAGGGAAGAATCCTCGAAACTGGCGCGACAAATAGTCATTTCAAATGGTTATGAAACTGTAGCTACTCGGCATAGGAATAGAGGAAGAACCACGCCCCAGAGCGATAATTCTAGCAAAACAAGGCTCCGTTCCTCCTACCCTTTATTTCAAACGAAGTAAGTGCAGCTGTAAAACGTTGCTTAATAAGGGCCGGTCTAGAGAATTCCGTAAGAGTGACAGAAATACCATCCGACACTCTAAGACGCCAGCTAGTTCGCAACCGCCTATATGACCGTCTATGTACAACGAAAAGCTGCATAATTTGCCCTAACGTTAGAGATGGTGATTGCATGAGTTCGGGTACAGTGTATCCGACCTCTCGTAAAGCGTGCGAGGACGAATACGTTAGCGAGACGGATAGACCGCTCTGCTTCCGCATAAAAGAACACCTAGTCGGTAAAACTAAATTAAAACCAAACACTCCACTAGGCGCGCGTAGGATGCAGGAACACAACGGAGATTTTGAAGTAGGAGTCACTATCCTCATGCACGAATCGAAAACAAAAGCGCGTAAAACTCTTGGAGCGTCTTGGATCAATTCCAAAAGTCCAAAAAAGAACCGCAAAGAGTGTCTTCCGACCACACGTAACCCAGTGCCGTATCTCAGGCTGATTCCTTGATCTGAGCGAAGCACTTTCCTCGCCCATGTATGATTTAGTACTGTTGCTCTCCATCAAATATCTGGAAGACTTCCAAACCACAAGACGGTGAGTGTTCAACAGAAGCTCTTTATTATGCGAATGTAAATCTATGTATTACACTTTATCTATTGAGGTTAAGTGTTCTGCTGAGTACACTTCATGTCAATTTGACGTTTTCAGGTTCTGAATAAGTCTAAACCGCCGAAACGTTAGCTAGTGTGCATTAATAAACGCTGCAATGACAACCTCGTGTTTGCTCATAAAAAAAAAGAGAACAGTGCTTTATTGTCTTCGTTATACCGATGGTTGCTCTTCGTTTACATTTTAATCTGCCATTTATTTTGTGCACGAAACACTTCTTTTTACACTTGACATTAAACCCATAATTTCCCTGGCACAGGTGTCGTAACAGGCGCGGGCAAGAAAAAAACTACTCGGTGTGAACCAAGATTTACAAAAAAGTTTCCGTACGAGTTTGTTCATTCGATGCCAGGATGTTTCTTTGAGAAGACTACTGAGGCATTCAGACAGAGTCGTCCGAACGTTACGCTCCTTAATGTGTTTTAGGCAGTCGTGCATAAATATAGGCAAGTGAATTTTAAGAAAACTGGAGAGGTGCTGGAGTATCTTCTGTACCATCTATCGCCCCGTTGATCGTGAAGTGACTCGAACGGGCGCAAGTGAAGGCGTAACCACCGAGACGTCAACTATCGTGTATAGTAAACAGCAATAACAACCCAGTATTTACCCATCAAAAAAAGGTCTTTAATCAATGTCCAGTTTAAAAGGAAGTCGCTCATGGAATCGGCTACAACGGAAAGAGTTCGGAAGAAAGGACTCTAAGAAAAATTTAGAAAAAACCAGAGCCAACCTTATTTTCACTTCCATAACCAGAAGCTGAAGTGGGAGTCCCTGCAACTTGTGCTGCCGGAGCAAAATGTGTCCGAGGAGTAGTGGGGTTCACAGGTAATTGCGGTGCCTGTTGCGCATTAGACGACACAAATTGCACATGCTGTTGTGGTGTTGTATGCCGCATCTGCTGAGAGGAAGTAGCTACTTGAGCACCCCCCGGATATATAACTCTTGGCTGAAGAAAGCAAGTGTTAATTTCATATCGTGTTAACAGTTAGTCAAATACGGGACAAACCTGATGCTGAATTTGTGTGCTTTGTTGATGAATCGAATAATGTCCAAGCTGCTGTTGCTGTGTAGCAGGTTGTGCCTGAAAAGGTTTTCTTCTTACCATGCATGCAACGTATAAATTCTAGAGAATAAACTTGTTCAAATAAACTAACTAAGTGCGTTGGTTGATATTCAACTACTTTCATGCCAGCCAGCCCGGCTGGACCAAAGCTAACAGCTTCAAGAGTAGCCATTGATACTAGTTGTGTAACTGCTCGCGGCAACTCAGATAATAGTTGGCAAGCAATATCGCCCATCTCGGAAATCTTTAAAAAATCATGTTTTGTAAAATGTTAAGTCAAAATTTATGTGTGATGTTGGTTATTGTTTAAGCAAGATGAATACATAGAAGAAAAGCATAATGCAACGGCGAGAAAGTTTAATAGTTTGAAACTGAATTCTGAAGCCCGACAGCAATCAATCTTTAGAGTAAACAATAGGCAGTTCAAGTATATGATAAAAATCACCTGGTATAGGCATTCAAGAGTATACACACACATCATTATGTCTTTGATGCAAACAATGTTAAAAATGTGCTCGAACATCCTCTTATCCAAAAAATCGCATATAGTGGCTTCATTTCCTTCAAAACTGCTAAGTGCAGTAAGGATTTCCATTGAACGAATTACCTGAAGAAGGAAACATATACAGTGAGTTCCAACACAAAGAGGAAGAAATTCGAAAGACCACAGGAAATGTAAACTGCCTTGAATTTGTCACAGCTGAAAATTCCTTCCCTCACAATCCGTAAGAGTGCATGATCGGAACAATGTACTATTTTATGCCAAGTAAGATCAATCTGTAAAGGGGACGATCACAAATGACAACGTAGAACACCCACAGTGAACAGCTTACGAATTATGGTAATACTCACATCACACGCTAAGTTGCTTAAAGTGTCCATAGCAGAAGTATATAGAGGGGCCCACTTGCTACTTGCACAAAGGAACAAAAACCTGAAATATCCTATCGTAGCTCGAAGAAAAGCAAAGGAAATAAAAAGGATAAAGCTCCCGGTATTCATCTATCACTGAGGGATGCGCCATGTATTCGATTTTACTGCCGGTAAGTAAATGCATATTTGGCCTTTACAATGACTCGCGGTGGTCTACCGATGTATCCTGTCCGTGCTGCTATCCTCCCCAACAAGTCTGGTACCAATTTGCCGAACCCGGAGGGGTGGAGATCTTGGTGGGCCATGGGCGCGAAGATCGATTCCACGTTTGTGTCACAGTGGCGGCTCCATCCACTGCGACACAGGCGCCCACCAGAGGGCATATATATTCCGTAATTTCTGAGAATGAAACAAACCTGAGCAAAGGCCAACATCGTGCCATTGTTACTCTATTTATAGGTTCAAACGATAAGTTTCTCACAATAATGGACACCTAAACAACAGGTCAGCACACTCTATCATAGAACACATTCCTTACCCCCAAGTGACCCAACTTACCTGATTAATTCTCCAGGACATTGCATCTCTAACGTCGAACTCTTTCACTAATCCAGTAAATATATCTCCGTCGGAATCCTTGACGAGAAACAATTTATTTATACATAATATGTCCCATATCATCACACTTATCTGCATATATTTGCAAAAATCCCATCTTTTGCGACATATAGGCGTTACACAACGCACCACTATCTTTCCAACTGCTTGCGGAGCAAACTTTTTCAACAAATCCTCTGGGATCCCAGCAGATGCCCAAAACGTAGTGAAACTACGTCCTCCATTTAGATTCCATGTTTCGGCAAGGTCAGAGATGTCTTGGTCTTCTGAATGAATCCAAATAATGACGAACGTTTCGGAAGGATTCAATCAGCTATATATTATAGGTATAAAGTAAAAACATTACCATCATCAAAAATACCGCAGTGAGCAACAAGAAGAGTAATGATGTTTGGGACGTGACTTAACCTAAGTAATCGAGGCCCAGGATGAGATAATAGCGTGCAAACATTCATTGCAAAATCAACCTGTAAAAAAAATACCGTGAGATAAGCAGTGCTCGCTTCCAACAGCGAATCCTAGCAAACCTCATTGGGCAATCCACTAAGAAGTGACTTTGTCAATCGACTATAGTCTGGTTCTGTTGAAGGGTTGCCTCGCTCATCACGACGGATGTACTCTAAACAGAACAACATCTACCAAAAGAATCGTGTTTTGCTCCGCCATTTTCAGTGTGTGCAACAAAAATGGATAATGTAAACAGAAGATAAAAGTAGAGTAAGTGAAGTAATTCTAAAACAAAGGCACTTCTCAAAGGGACAAAGCATTTCGTAGACCAGCTAGCCTATGGATGATCTCAAAATAAGGATACATAAAGATGTTAATAAATAGTCATGGAAAACCTTGTTTTTACATGACCCGACATCATCTACCGTATTGTGTGGATTTCACGAAGATCTTCGAACTTTCCAAATGCGGGTATGGAAACTGCTTGAGCATTATCGTCTTCTCGCCATGCTAAGGAGACCGTACGTGGACTGGAGGGGATGGGTTAGCCCCATATAAGTGGTACCAAATCCCGGTCCTACAAGAACGGGAGACTTGAGGAGCCCAGTTCTGGGTCGAAAAAGCGCCTGGGTGCTTTGGCGCTTCCTCATAGAAGGCGACATCAATACTATTGTTCTACCCTCCTCCTAATCTTTTAGCAAAGTGACGTACAAAACACAACAAAATGTATTATTCGTTGAAGAAAGAATAGTAACCAAAATCACATGTATATATATACATAGTATATTACGCATATACGTATATATGTCACATAGATATGCATGTATATGTAAACATACATATATAATATGTAAAGAGAAACACCAACCATGGTTGCGCCCTATGCCAACAGGACACTCATTGGTAGCGAAGAAGGAGACCTGCCTACCCCTGGAGCGGGACATTTCTCCGTCTAACATATCATCTATATCACCAATCGTTTCTATTTGCTCGTATTTAGAAAGGTACCTAAAATTTGACGGTAAAGAGAGTAAATAAGTCCCTCTGGCACCACGAACCTCATATATAAAAGCTTGATAGCATGGTCCCCACCCACAACATCATCTCCTACTCCGAGAATTTCTGCGACATCAGCCCATTTCTCTTGTATGGCGACCTTAAGCAGTAATGCCATTTGATCGGTCAATAATTAAACATCAAACGCTCAACAAGCACTGTTTTATTGATAAGCTAATACGAGTGATAGAAAACTATATTCAGCTAGCGCTTTGGTGCATTCGCTTTCTTCAGAACTGGATTGATCCGAGTCGATTGTCCACAGTTGTTCCCTCTTCCGATGTGGATCTTCGTGATCTCATCGAGTCAACCTAGCATAGCACTGTCCAAATGAAGTAAGCTTATTCGGCATTCGTTAGAAATATGCTCCACTGGATTGGACTCAATGCGATAACGAAGACCCACATCGGAAGAGGGAACAACTGTGTATAATCGAATCGGGCCAATCCGGCTCTGAAGAAGGCGAATGCGCTAAAATGTTAGCTGAATAAAATTTTCTATCAGCCTCGTGTTAGCTTACCAATGAAAGAATACTTGCTGATCAGTCATACCGAAGTGCAAGAAAAGCGGTTTTTAAAAATATTAAACGCTCACCTTCTGCCAACCTCCAAAAGCCATAACCGTGTCGTAAAGACGGTACAGATTTACTTCAACTCCTTGTACCGCAGGCAATCTTAGCGGTGCATTCCTGACAACATTCACGACTTTCACTGCACAATCTGCAACGCCGTAAAGACGAGCAACTAAACCTACCATTTCCTTTTGTAGAACTGGCGTAAACTCTGATAAAACTCCGACATTTTCTTATATTTGGCTGGAGTGTCGGTGAGACTGCTGAGATAGTTAGCTAGAGCGGATTTCCGCTTCCTTCGATCCATAACGATAAGCTGAAAATTGAGTGTCCTACACATACAGAATTCACTGGTATGAACGAATAGACGTGTGACGCTCTCAGAATAGATGCTAACCTTCCGCACCACGAATGGGACTTTATTGTGGATGCAAACACTACTTTACTACCCGAACTCAATGTCCAAACGAACTGTGGCACGTTGGTGGGCGTTTGTCTCGTCGCCACTATAACTCTACGTGATAGGTCAACAATGCCTCCAAACATTCGTTTGCCTGAATGCCGTCCCATACTAGTTCTAGCCAAACTTTCGTCCCAAAACCACAACACAGTGGAATCCTGCCGTTTCAGGGATATATAACTCCCTATTAACAAGGTCCTGATCAAAGAAGAAAAAGTAAAAAATCGGAGCCTCGCCGCCTATGAGCACACCGACCTCGGCGCGCGCGGCTGCGTCGCGGCACGATGCCGCGCATTGATCGCGGCGCACGTAGAGGCGGCCACAGCCGCTGACCTATATGAATTTGGCAGGTGTTTGTACTGCGTGGTGCTACCGGTATTTCCAATAGATTAGCAGTGAGAGGTGAGTACACGTGGCGTAGTCCTGCTGTGCAGTCCTGGAGTTGAGTACCACTTCGAGTCGCAGCTATTCTGATAATTGTTGCGGCTTCGGACAGCGAGCGATCTGGCATGTGCGAGAGGGAGGGATCATGTGGAATTTCAGTGAAAGGAGTATAAGCGTCTTTAATATTTTATAGTCTTGTGCTGAACGTAAACTTATGTAGTACAGCCATGTACGATCTGTCATGGTTACTTTACTACATTGCTGACGCAGTGGTATTGATGCCGTCCGGAAATATGCGCAAGGTCCTGGTTCCACCTCGACTCGTACGAAGCACGCCTTCCATCTTTGCAGCGTCATTGTGTTGTTAACCGTCTTCTCTGCAAAGCTGTCCCCGATTAATAAGGCTATTGGTTGGTTGCGGGGAAGGCACGGAAAAGTCTGGGCGTAACTATCAGTGGATTCTAGGCAGAATCTGCTCGTCCAACGTTCAACGACATTCGTCATGTAGACCAAAACCCTCGAACCTGTATGTGAACAAACTCGCAAGTCATTAGACCTTCACTTGTGGTAGTTATAAGGGAAGTAGAAGAAGGAAAGAAATGCTGGAAACCACATAGTGGATACTGTCCGGCCATGTAAAACAGAAAGCATTCCACTTAAAATCAGGAAACGACTGCGATTTTTTCGTTAGCAGGTCGGCCGGAAATTACCTATAACTGAAGAAAATTAAAAAGAAGAGCTCTCGGCGTTGATCAATCCCTGAGGGAGGCGCCATGCATTCAACTCCTTCGAGTATCGTTGGAGGTGATTGAGTGCATATCTGGTTTTTACAATAACTCTTCTGGTACCACTTTGCTTGCCCGGGTTGAATGGAGGGCTTGGTGAGCCTGGGGCGTGACGGTTGATCCAATGTGTATTACAGGCCCCCTTCGACCACGGCGCTACACGCGCTGAAGAGACTAAAATGCTGTTTGAGAATCAAACATGAGATAGTACTCATGGAACTACTTCATTCAACTCACTAAGGAAATGAGCACTGTTCCCTTCTGCGTTCTGATAAGAAAAACCATAACTGTGAATGAGAAAATATTTTTAGAAAAGTCTTGGAGCTTAATGAAGCTTTTTCAATTAAATGTTAATTAAATGTTAAGTTGCCACGTAGTATTGTTGAAATGGTGCGTGTGGAATAGTAATTGGAGGCGCCACTGCGACACACACGTGGTGTCGATCTCCGCTCCCATGGCCCACCAAGCTTTCCATCCCTCCGGGGTCGGCGAAATGGTACCAGACTTGTCTGGGAGGATAGCAGCACTGGCCGATACATCGGTAGGCCACTGTGAGTCATTGTAAAAACCAGATATGCATTCAATCACTTCCAACGATACTTAATGAAGTCGAATGCATGGCGCATCCCTCAGGGACTGATCAACGCCGAGAGCTTTATTTTAACTTTATTATTGAAAGTGGTGTAGAGTAAATTTTTACCATGAAAAGAAATGATTTTGGATGACATTCGTCCCAAAATAATTGTGAGTCGCAGTTAACTGCTAGATAAGATCACCTTATTTAAGCGCTAGGAATCACCATGTTTAAACACCCTTGCGAAAGGTGACCTCTAGAGGCGCCATAGTGAAGTTGCGTGAGTGGCCGGTATAACACCTTGCCACATCGGCACGCCGGTGCTCCAGTCCATTCTATTCGACACGATACCACTATGAAGACCCACATCTCGAGAATAACAAGTGCTGTGGATACTTAATGGAATCGTTGCGGCTCTGAAGAAGGGGCTGGCGAGGTGGTACTAACCAGAATAAACTTTCATAACAACCTTATGAACAGTTGTCAACAAAGCAAGTTATTCTTTCGATATCTTCTGAATCTTAATGTTTTCCAGAAATAAGGGAATGCTGCCTATTTAAGGTTTCCATAAATATTGTGAAACCAAAGTGACTCCAATTTGACTGCTTTCTCCAAAATTTCTTCCACAACTGAGAATTTCACTTCTGTGTATTTCTTCAGTTGAGACCACTTTTCTTGATAGAAGTACTCTATCACTTAACAAGGTCATGGCTTTTTTATTCATGCTCAATTTAAATAATCGCACAAGAATTTCGATGAATTAAGAGTCAGAGGTAGGTTAATAAGCCTTTGTTGAAAATTCTTCCCTTCGGAGATCCTTTTGTTAAGCCATAACGACCGATATGGACACCATAGTGTCCCGTATGCGTTTGGACCTAGGAAAAGTATGAACACTACAGTGTCCATTTTCGGTTACGTGCATTCCATAATTTTTTCCTACCACAGTGTATATTCATTGAATAGCTACTAAAAGACAGATCAAAATAGTGATAGTGGGAGCAGGAAGACCATTCTGCTCGCTTAACGATTTGCAAAAAATCCTTTTTTTAAAAGACCTTTGACCGGTAAGTTAAATAGCAATTGCTCAAATTTGCAGTAAATCCCAAGATTGACTTTCCATTAACTTTGGTATTGATGAATGACTCGCTGTTTTCTTGATTAGCGCACACAGTGTTCCTGCTATCCATTACTTTTCCATAATTGCTGACGTTTCGGAGGGTTTCGGCTCCTTAAGAGTCTAGAAAGGTCAAGTTAACCGCCATCTAGTCAACTACATCGAATACTGAGTGGAAGACTCAGTGAAGAGCGTGCGCAGAAGCTGTTTTATATCTAATGCGATTGCGAACTAGGTGTCGTGGATTTCCTGATGAGGTTGTGAGGTGTAGTTGACTAGGTTGCGGTTAACTTGACCTCTCCAAACTCTGAAAAAAGCGTAATTCGCCGAAGCGTCGGCTGTCGTATAATATAATAATATACAGTAACAACCTCATGTGTGCTAATCAAGAAATTAGCGAGCTATTGCTCGTATTCACTTTGGAGAGCCACAGTAAACGGTGCACGTCCGTTATGGATTATGAATGATAAAAGGATAGAGTATCCAGCAGTGATCGATCTCTGATGGATACGTCGCGCTCTCGAGTGCGCTAAACATTAAATAGAGCAGTAGAATACCGTCGTAATTAAATAAATTTAGAATGTAATTTAACCAATCTAATCGGATTAATTTTTAATGAGGTATTTTCGGATAGAGCGAAACATTTTCGGTATTCAGGGACGACGATCAGTTTTAGGAAATGAGGAAAGTCGAAAAGACTTGCTACTGGAGACTCCAATTCCGAGAGAAACAAGGTATATAAAAAATCGGGAATGTTGGGTAGAAGATCGTCATAAGAATGAAGACTGCTATTGTGAATTCGTGTTTATAATATTGCCTATCACATGGAGATTCATTTTTTGGAAAGAAGATCACTGCTGGACATGGGATTCGCCTAACGGTACGGTTCATATGGACATCGATCGTACTCTTCCAAACAGAATATGGTGCTTCCTACACATTTCTTTGATGACATTTCTAGATTCGGTCACTGCTTTCTCCGTGCGAAAATTCAGCAAGAACATGAAAAAGAACCTTAATCATCGCCTAAGAAGATAAGAAATGGTCGCATCTGTTGAACGGAAAGGGACCATATACTTACTTGAATGGCAGATCAAGGAGGGGCTGACTGATTGTGCAATAAAAGTGTGCCGATTTACGCCTCAGTTCCTCAATCAGAAAACAAGCAGTGCATTTTCACCGCAACCAAGGAATTGTTGAAGCACAGAAGAAACTATTCGAAGTAGCTAAAAAGAGAAAGTCCAGGGAAGATTTACAGGTTTTTAAAAATATCTTTCGGCTTTGCTAAACAACTATGCGATTCACACCATCACGGACACGAGGTTTATAACCAAAAAATTCTACTTCAATCTTCTTCGTTCCACAGCTTCCTCACCAGTACGCAAATACTCCGCTTGGAAAAGCACCAATCACAAGAGAAAGAGAAGAGACAAGAAAAAATTCTATATCTGAGGTCCAATTGAGCGACCTGACGACATCACAGGAAGGTTGGAGTTTCTTCGAGTTGGGAACCAAGAACACCATTATGACTCATATAGCAAATCTTCGAAAATAGAGAATTACAGGTTAGCGGAGTTACGCTGGCCCAAGAAGGCTGTGCAGAAGAATATTGTAACTACCGCATGATTACATTGCCTTTGAAATGTGCTCTACAAGCAGCAATGCTTAAAAGTTTTCTATTGTGCAAATCAAAAATTCTGAATAAAGCTCGATCCAGTTGAAGAAGTAGAATAATAACGGAGATCTTACTGCACGAACAACATTCAAACCGAGGTTACGGTCATACAAGTCTGCAGGAATACAGTATGCTGCTTGATATATCCTTATTTAATTATGAAAAGGGTGCAACAGCGATGAAATGAAAGTCGTTCAATAAGAGCTCGTAGAGCAGCGTATGGACTCTTCCCTGTACAATAACTCTTTCAGAGAAAAGCTGTATTATAAGCACACAACTGTTTCATCTACCTCTTACCATTCCCTTTAGCAAGAG